TTGGTGACTTCTTTATTTCTTTTTGCATTTTAATAAATAACTTTGCAGGCTTTTTCATATCTTTCGTTAGATGCTGAAATGCTGCATCATCTGATAACCGCTGTGCCTCAGCTAGTCGTTGCCTCAGTGTGGCAGATTTTTTTCGAAGGCGACGTACTTCCGATTGAAGCATCTTAGCTTTCAATTGATATGCCTTAACTACGCCACCTTTCGAGACACCTACAAAAAATAATATTAATTAATTAATTATAGTGTTATTTCAGTGTGAAATAAAACCCGTGCTATTAAAACAGACCCTAATACTTTTAAAGATACTATTTACATTCTTTCTTTATTTTCTCCATCAGTTTTTAAGTATAGTTAATGCTTGTAATAAATGGAATAAATAAAAAATATATTTGTCGTACTACATTTGAAAGATATTGTATTCAGTTGGATTTCAACTATATAATGTGAACAATATAATGAAACATGTTGCGACTTACCAGGTAAATAAAGGCAGGGAACTGCAATAGCACTTAAACAATGACAGCTGGTTTTATGTTTATCTTTGAAGTAAATATCACATATTCTCTTCTTTTTGTAATATTCATAGTCAGCTGGAGTTTCAAGATTTCCTCCTACAATATGAACCCATTCTCGAAAACGTTCAGGAAATTTGGTTGGATTTGGGAAAATGTGTACTATTGTACCTGTAAAATAATAAAGAGGAATATTCACTAAAATGACCGTTGTTGAGTTTGTTAAAGTTTTAGTAGTGATTAGCTTGAGGAGCTGTGTTTCGGAAGGTACATTAAGCAGTTAGTTTAGGCTGCATCTGCGGTTATTAAAACCCATCAATCTGCACTAAGGTTGCCGGGTCATCTAACCTAATATCTGGATAGACCATCTAGTTTGGTTTTATACTTATATAATAGAGAAAAAAAAAGAAATCTCAATTTACTTATGACATATACATGCCTTATATAATTCATTATGTTTTAAATGCATGCATTCAAATACCCTAAATAAGACCGGCTTTATTTGGACACCTGGCAACGCAAGTTATGACCTCATTCCATAGGGAAACCACAGGAGTGGGGACATTAATAGACTGATATTGATGATAAGCTTAAAGAACAAATAAACAATTTTTTATGAAAACAGACCTGTCCCATATCCTCGACCACAAATCACACAACTTTGGCCCGGCATATTGTTGTTAATTTTGATAACACATAAATATTAGCGTCTGTATCGCAATCACGGTTTCACTAACTTTTAGGACGGAGGAGAATAAGACTGTTCTGTCATCTGTTATTTTTCAAATATTTCTTATATAAAAAGAATCTAATGTATTTTAAATTTTGCTTTAAAAAAATATTCTAGAAAATGTACAAATAATAATAATGACAAATAATTTATTTTTAATTTATTATCTGTAGAAAATATTCAGTGAGTAGTAGCGACATCTAGTGACATTTTGAGAAATTGTGACGAAACATTTCGGGATCAGGGCGCAAGATGACTCTGCCTTCTTTAAAGAATTTTTCAATGTTCTAAGTGTCATACCCCTGATTAAATTAGAAATAAAAGGTTACATTTGTATTGAAGTGTTTATTTGAAGAACCTATAGTTAGCGACGAGGAAAAACATTCAATGGCGTTATCAGCTCTGGCAGAGGGGAATAACAACATAGCCGGTCAGCCATTTAATCCATATGTTGAACTAACCTGTGCGGAAAGATGGCGGGCGTGGATTAGGAATTTTAACTACTACCTAGATGGACTAGTAGGACTGGCGCCTAAACAAAAATTGGCAAGGCTACTTCATCAAGCAGGATCAGATGTGCAAGAAATTATTGAAAACTTAAATGACCCTGAAGGTACTGTAGAAGGAAAAGATGAATACGAGCAAGCAATATCCAAGTTAACAAAATACTTCGTACCGAAAGTGAACAATGCTTACGAAAGGCAGAATTTTAGAACAGCAGAAATGTCAAGCAGCGAAACTGTAGACCAGTTTGTAATTAAACTAAGAAAACTCGGTAAATATTGTCAATTTCACAATTTGTATGAAAACAAAAGACCAGTTAATAGAAAAGTGTATTCACCCAGTGTTGAAACGAAAATGGTTAAAGAAAGGAAGCACCATCAACATATACGAAATGTTAGAATATGCAAGAATATTTGAGCTTGAGAATAATTTAAGTAAAGTTCAATTAAACGGAAAGGAGGATGAGGAAGCTGTCAACCAGATAGACACGAAATGCTACAGATGTGGCAGTCAGGGGCACTTTGCTAAAAATCCAAACTGCCCAGCGTTTAATGTGGTATGTAACAAGTGTGGTCTAAAGGGACATTTTTTGAAATTTTGCAAGTTAAAAGAAAATAGATGACAAAAAGCCTAAACTTAAAAAGAGAAAAAGATTTGTCCGATATGTTGTTCAAGAGGACTCCAGTACTGACAGTGATTCTGAAGAAAGTGAGAATTCATCAGTAGTGCACAGTATTTTTAAAGTGGATAGTGAAACTAACAACAAGTGTGACATTCTAATTGATGATAAGGTAAAATGCAAGATTCAAAGATGGGTACTTCGATTACAACCATACACTTATAGAGTTGTGTACAAACCTGGTAAAAATAATATAGCAGATCCATTATCACAACTTCTAAACACAGACAAATGCTGAGGACACTCAAGAAGACAAAGAGGAAAGCTTCTTATTGGCATCAATAGAAATGTCAACACCAGCTGTATCCTTAAAAGAAGTAAGAGAAGCAACACTAGAAGATGAATCATTAACCGAATTAAAGGATAGTTGGCACAAGGAGTTAAAGAAATATGAGTTAATTAAAACTGAACTTTGTGTAATTGATGAAATAATTTTAAGAAGAAATAGAATTGTCATACCAAAAAGACTAATAGCAAGAGTTCTTGAAATTGGACATGAAGGACATATTTCATTAAACGGTATGAAAGCAAAATTACGCACTAATGTATGGTGGCTGACTATGGACAAAGATATAGAGCATTGGGTAGACACCTGCAAAGGATGTAACTTAGTGAGAAAGGCGACACCTCCAGAACCCATTAACTCAACTGAACTACCTAGTGGAGTATGGGAACAAGTGGCTATTGATTATCTGGGACCTTTGCCATCTGGAGATTATCTTTTATTTATTGTTGATTATTACAGTAGATACTATGAAGTGGTAATCACCAGAAATCCTACCGCAGAGAATACAATAAAAGCTTTGTCAGAGGTAATCTCTAGAGAAGGTATCATGGATATCATAGTATGTGATAATGGGCCAGCTTTCATTGATAAAAGATTCCAGAACTTTCTTCAAACCAATAGCATCAAACTAAGACACACCACACCTGTATGGCCACAGGCTAATGGAGAGGTAGAGAGACAGAATAGAAATGTACTAAGAAGGCTTCAAATCGCACAAGCTTTGAAATTGAATTGGAAAGAAGAACTAATTGCTTATCTATTTGCGTATAGAACAACACCACATTCAACAACGGGATAGCCCCCTGCAACTGTTTTCAAAGGAAAGGAAATTAGAACTAAATTACCAAGATTGAAATTAGATATCCAGATAAATGATGAAGAAAAACTTAGCTAAGGAATATGCTGATAAAAGAAGACATGCACAAACTTCAAACCAGACACCTGGGGACAAAGTTCTTATCAGTCAAAGAAAAGAAAATAAATTGTCGACACCATACTCACCTGAGGAACACACTGTTATATGGAAGAAAGGGAATGCAGTTGTAGCAAAATCAGATAATGGGAAAACAATAAGAAGAAACTCTTCACATTTTCAGAAAATAAACAATAGAAACATGAGTTTATTGGGAACAGACAAGAATTACAACATAGAAAAAAACGATTTCAAAGATACACAACAGGAAGAGATAGTGGGTGGTGCAGGTGAAAAAGAAACCGTTGTTGACCCGTCAATGACTGACTTTGACTTCACTAATTCTGGAAATAGGAACAGTGAAACTATTAGAAAATCTTCTAGTTTAAATGAACCAGAATTATGCTCGAATAAACCTAAGAGAACGCTTCACGCTCCAGCTAGATACAAAGACTTTGTACTAGGTTTAATAGTTGATTGTATCTGATTTTATAATGATTACTTGAGTGATTTACAAAACTTGTTTAATCAATAGCATATTAGTTATTAATTATAATTGTTATTTAATTAATAATGCAAAGCAGTTGTTTTATTACATTTTCTACTATTAAGGAAAAAAAGGATTGTAGAGTTTAATAACCAAATAAGTGCAATGGAACATGTTTTGTAGTCTATAGTATTATTGTCGATGGTCAGGACACATGACGCTCGACACCTACTAATGATTGTGATTAAATTCGAAATAAAAGGTTACATTTGTATTGAAGTGTTTATTTGAAGAACCTAAAGATGGAGGGAGGGTTTAGTCTTAAACCTCGCCATGTATTACAAGTGTTTATTTGAAGAACCTAAAGGTGGAGGGAGGGTTTAGTCTTAAACCTCGCCATGTATTACAATCTGCTATAACAACACGTGATTAAATCTTTAAACGGGTAAAAAATCTGCTATAACAACATTTGATTAATGGACGGTCCCATCTATTTCTTAGTCTATCGGCTTGTCTTTAAATACATATGTATTGAAGTTGAAAATAATGGAAACTGGTGCTTATAATCAGCTCGTCCCTAGCAGTCAGTTTTTGAAATTACACATTTGTATACTTTTAATACAGAATAGTTGCCGAACAGAGAGAATTTTATACGGTGACCTTTGTGGTGATATACCTATATTGAAAACATTTAGGTTCACTATACTATGACAAAATTGACTAGATGCAGGCGAGCGCAATAGCAATATGCGCATGAGTGGAAGAGATACGTAATGCCGGGTCATTGCACAAAATTCTTTCTGTTCGGTGACCGTGGTATAAGTATCTAAAGATATTGTTTGTTTACTGAAAGGAAATGTGAAATAAAACGACTTGTTTAAAAACGGATTTTTATTAGTATACTACGAACAGCGCCGTATTTACATGTTCATATTGTTAACGAAATGTAACAACAACAACTTGATTATTGTTTGCTTAGGCACATGCTTCATCTTATAACATTCTTAATTTATTATATTTCGGATACATGAACGGGCACTAGTGCTAGTAACCACAATTATCTTCATTCATTTACTTTGCGAGAAACTAAAATAAATTTTCAAACGAGGGCCTAGTTGCAGACACCCACAAACTATTTCATTATATAAATGAAAATTTGTATACAACTACTCATATGGAGTTACTTACTACCTAAGTATTCAGTGTAGAATTGAGTCCGCGCCCTTGTAAACCTATTGTGATATATCCCATACTATGCAGTAACGCGCACACTACTTTTATCGACATAATTTCATTAGCATAAAATGTTAATAAAGAACGAACACAAAAAAAAAACAAAAATAACAAACGTAAAAAGTTTTAATCAATATAGAAAACGAAAATTTAGAAAGAGAAAAATGTAAATGAGAAATGGAAGCATTATATTAGTAATAATTGCAAGATTTCTACTATAATTAGTATGTGATAGTATTAAAAGCAGTGTCGCCGCGGCAAAGCATCTATTGGCAAACTATGATACCGGGTAAGTCTATTAGGTAAAACATCTAGGACATTACAATGAGATATTTAAACGCGATGGAAATGCAGTGGTAAAAAGGGAATGACGATATAACCACAATAACATACACACACAAGTATACAGTTCTCATTTAAACAAATTAGATTGCATCGCATTTAACTTCTCGACATAAGGACGCTAATTTTAAACTTTGGTTATAACAATGCTGTACGAGTACTTACGATAATAATAAGTACTTTCATGTCCATCATTTGTGACTATTGGTATATATGTTTTCATATAACGACTAGTACAGTGAGTGTCAAATGTTTAAGCACGGTCAAGATGTCCAATAAGTTATATAACATTGAAAAATGTCGACTTTTTAAATTGATGACAAACTACTTACATATTTCAAGTATATTAACATACTAAATAGATTGTTTCCATATGAACGACTCGACCAGCATTTGACACTTACTGCATCTAATAAAGAAATATTTGTTCATAATAATTCATGACTTCTGTCGTGAGACGGAACTTCATTATTTATAACGTATGGTATTTACGAAATTGTGATTATAATAATTATTATAGAGTCTACATTTGTATTGAAATAAATGTAAATATTAAAGCATCTTTACAGATTTCGTTTATAGGGTCTACTAATAAAAAGGCAAGCGACTCGATGATACATTGATAAAACATACTATTATCACAGACTAACAGAAACATTACATAAAAGAACTTACATTCACTACATATGGCACTAAATACTAAAACCTGGAACTAAATAACACCAGAGGCAGTGATCGAGATACTAAAATATATATATAAACAATAAAAAGAAATGATGAATCTGTTATCGGACCCAAGTCAACAAAATTCTGTTACATTTCAATGACAATATAACTGAATTGATACTACTATGGGTATCTCAACAATATGCTCCCGCATCAATAAAAAAAAATAATACTTGACAGGGACAATTCATAAAATCATCTTATATGAAACTTCGGCAATAGCACCAGTACCATAACATAGAGACGCGCTCGCGGCTTCAGGTTTCACAACCAAAACTTATTGCTATTATCACTACGTCCAAATTGCACTACTATGGTTGTTGATAAAATTGTAAATTCCAAATGGAAGCATAAAATTAAATCTACATCTGCGTGATTTGAGCGAAATATAAGATATATGCATATGCATAAAAAAATCTATTGCACTGCAACGAAAAAAAAACATAATAAAATTTAAACACTTAATTAATTTGATCAAAATAATATCCTCAAAATTTAACTAATAAAAATCTACATCAAACCTTAGCACACTATCCACTACAGCATACATTCATAGATAAGGAACAATATCATCAATCAAATAATTATAGTAACAGTGTATACGGGGAACTCCAGTACATGAGGGGTTCCCGATACGCCGCGTCCGATCACAAAACATAGTCCGGACGGGCGGTGGCGGCCATTTTGGGACGTTTCAACTGTCACCGCTCTGCTTCACCGGCTGTTCCGGTTTCTCCTGGGCCGGCTGTTCCGGTTCCTGCTTCTCCGGTTTGCCGCCCATTTCGCTCAGTATGCCCGGAAGGGGCAAATCTTTGAGCTGTCTCTTTTCTATCTCCGCCTTGAATTGCTCGATATCTTGAGGACTGTATAAAGTAAATTAGTTTTTTTTCTTAATATTTCTTATCACAACAATAATAGAGACAAGCTTCAATATAAAACAGTAATCATTTCAACATTACATTTGATACCTATATTATTAAGATACTGCTAACCCACCACCTTGGGTGGACCGCCATATTGGATTTAGATTGATGTCATATTTTTGTATATTAAAAAAATTGGCTGCCGTCTTGTGCTGTATTAGATTCATAACTTAGCTAACCATGCAACATCAGCTACAGTAAACGAATACGTAAAATTTCAGCTTGTTTGAAGTAATTCAGTTGCAACATATAACTAACATAATACACGGCAAGTTAAATAAAACCTTGCAAAAAGGTAACACCGAATGTCGAACGCAGATCCGCCATTATGGGCGAGATAAGCAAACCCACGATTTTAATGAACTTAACGTTACACATGTAAAAAATGATGGCCTGGTCATCTTAATATTGTATATTGTAAACATATTATTGTTTTTATCAGGGAGTTTATATTTAGAAACAATGTGGAAACTTCCCTTATGAAACCAAGCTTCCGCGGATAAGTGAGATAGCATCGGAGGTTTAGTGAGTACCCACGTTTTGACTAGCCACACACCCCCCCTGCCATCCATCAAGTGGCAGGACCAACATAATGCATTCCCCCTATGACACAAAAATGTTCATATTCAGAGTCACATTTGGTCGAGCGACTATAACAACCTTGAGTAACTGAGTATGAACATGTCAACGTACCTCATCGGCTCGAACAGTATTCCATTGATGAGGTTGAGTATAGCTATGTCAACATACCTTATCTGCCCTGCGATTCTATAAAAATTCAGACCAGGATTTGAATTCACTCATGTGTCCGAATATAAATTCTATAAAATCCATTTTTTGTATATAACACAAAACAAAATTGATTGAATATAGAGTCTCAGATATTCTATTTATATGTATTTTGGAACTCATTTCACTTATGCTACGAAACGTTATTACCAATTCAAGGTTAATCGGATGCCGCTTTTTGAAGTGAATTCGGACACCTGAATGATTTGAAATTCGGTTCTGGATTTTTACAGAATCGCACGGCTGTTCGAACAGTATTCCGATGATCGGGTTGAGCTATGTCAGCGTACCTTATATGCACGAAAAGTATTCTGTCAATCAGGTTGAGCATAACCATGCTAATGTACCTTATCTGCACAAACAGCATTACATTGATCAGGTTAAGCATATCTATGTCAACGTACCTTATCACTACGAACAGTATCTTGTTGATGAGGTAGAATTTATCTATGTCAACGTACCTTATCCGCACGAGCAGTAGCCCATTGATGAGGAAGACCATATTTATGTCAACGTACCTTATCACTACGAACAGTATCTTGTTGATGAGGTAGAATTTATCTATGTCAACATACCTTATCCGCACGAGCAGTAGCCCATTGATGAGGAAGACCATATTTATGTCAACGTACCTTATCACTACGAACAGTATCCTGTTGATGAGGTTGAATATATCTATGTCAACGTACCTTATCACTACGAGCAGTAGCCCATTGATCAGATTGAAAATATCTATGTCAACGTACCTTATCTGCACAAACAGTATCCCGTTGATCAGATTGAGCATATCGATGACGGACGCCATGCCCGGAGGCTGTATATGCAGGGGTGGGGGGGCGGGGGGCGCGTGGGGGGCCCGCGCGTACGCCTCCGCCAGCCGCTTCTGGAGCACCACCGCCTGCTGCGTTAGATGGCGCAAACACTCGGATGACTCGCGGGTCTTCTCGTGCTTTTCGCCCAACTGCACATACGTATATAACGACGGTTAACAAACAATAGGGGTGTAGACAACTTGTTTTTAAATATTTATATTTCTTAGAAAAATAAAAACTTCAATAGGTTTTTTATTGGCGGTATACCGTCGAAACTTGAGTAAATTCGAATTCGGTTTCGAATTACATAATCTCTGCGCTGGTCGTCTTTCAAATTTATTAAAAAAAATATTAAACACTAATACTAATCGACATTTACACATAGGCATTCGAAAATAAGTAACACTCACGATTTGTTTATATATGGAGTACGTCTCCTTCTCATGTTGTAAGGCTGCGCGGAAATCTCCAAGGCACGACAATGTACGCGCGAGGAGATGCCGCGCGACGGCCGCCTTCAACGAGCGCGGCCCGTGAACTGAACACGTCACGGTCAACGCACGTTCCGCGAAACGCAACGACAACTCGTACTCGCCAACCGCGTGTAAGATCAAAGCGATGTTGCTCTAATTACGAATAAACAATCTTAAATTAGTAACTAAACATGTACATTAATAATCACGGCAAAATATATTATGAAAACACGAAATTTAGTTTTTAATTACGTCTATCATATGGTAACACCAGATCCGGATCTACGATTAACACCAGTGTTAGGGGGCGGCAAAATCATCATAAAAACGTATCACTACATAGTATACAAAACCAAGTCGCTTCCTATCTTTAAAACTACGCAACGGATTTTGAAGCGTTTTTTTTTTTTTCATAGATAGGGTGATTCAAAAGGAAGGTTTCTATGTATAATACAGGACCACGCGGATGAAGCCGTTGGCGGAAAGCTAGTAAACGTATAAAAAAGAACTAAAATACACTTCAACAATATGAAAGAGGCAGCCTTGCGAATTTCTGCTCTGATTAAAAAAAACAAACTTAGATCCGGGCCTGGGTTACACATATATGTGGTAAACAAAACAGTCTATCCAATAGTTTAGGAGCAAATTAACCGTAGTTAACAGAGTGATGACGGACGGAAGGAAATCTTTTGTTTTTTGTAGTTTGTTACCTAAAACTACTTCATAAGTTAGTTAATAATATCAAAAACTTATTGTAATTATATATTCTTCTTAAATTATTATTGTAAACACAATATCATTTCTAATGTAAATGTTATGATCACTACTAATGGGTATACATATAAGAATACTTAACTTTAAAATTTTCAATATATCATATCTATATACTGTTGATATATCTATAAGATAGAGATCTTATTTCTGAACATGAATAATAAATGTTTTAGTGATAAACTTACATCGAGGAGTGCCATTTCTGGATGATTTTCGCCGCATACGAGCAACGCCAGGTACCGCGCACGGTACAATAACTTGAGAGCTGTGCTCACTTGACCGTTGGCGAAGCAATACAATGCCAAGTGAGACTGAAACATAACATAATATAATTATCGCAATCACAATGCTATACTGAAATATAGTCTTAATGAAAATTAACAAGCGCTTGAAAAATGCGTCAGTGCTGTTAGGTCCTGGGCAGCTCAGTGGTTAGAGCACTCGCCCGGATTGCGAAAGGTCACGGGTTCGACTTCCATCTCAGAGTTCCAGGGTTCCAGTTTTTTAAGCATTTTTCATTAAGATTATAACATGTTAAATTCATCATCAGTCTATTGAAGTCACCACTGCTAGAGCACGGTGGCCTAATTGTCTAATTTCGAAATCTATCACAATGCCTTTTAAACTTATAGCGGTTGTGAGTGATCTATGGAATTAAGTAACTTTTAAAGTCGCAGTCGCTTTAGGAACGAATAATTATTTTAATGATCAAAAGACATAACAAAAACTTGTAACTTAAACTAATATTTACGTCTAACGTTTGTCATGATCAATTCCAATTAAAGGTTCATTCATTCATAATCTTTCAAAAACACATGCCAAATAATGAGGTAGTATTTAAAAAAAAATTAGTTCCCGAAATCAACCTAGATGTCACTACGGTACTTTCTTAACTCCATAAACAACTTATATTCTATTTGTAATTTTTCGTATTAGTGTTGATATCTAAATTTCGAACTTTGCAGATTTCAGTTTTTTAATATGTTAGTTAAAAGGAACAGAAATGACTATGTTTGGTTCATTCGTTTCCTGCAAAAATCAACTTTTGCTAGAGTCGCCATCGAGTGGAGGTGCTTTTTTGGTGCTTTCTTTCAGCGTTAAGTTCGTAAATTTCTTTCAAATGTCAACTTGAAAGGGTTTGCGATTGCTTTTAAAATTAGTATTTTACCAACAAACAAACATACAAGCAACTTACGTATTCAGTGATGGTATACGGATGATCGATGCCATTAACCCGCTCGGACATAAACACTGCCTTCTGTTGGTACGCCATAGCATCTCTATGCTCGCCGGTGACGTAACACAATCGCGCGACCATACGTAGACATTGCGCGATCTCGCCGTGCATGGCGCCGTATACGTTGTTGAGCAGATTCAGTGCTTCCGTAATGAGTTCGTGGCCTTCAGATACTGCGCCCGCCTGAATCTTATTTTGACCCGTTGTGTAGAAATTGTACGCATCCGATGCCTATAACGAAAACAGCACTTCATACTTTTGATATGTTAAGATGTATGTGTGAATTTCAATACATTCGATGAAGAAGGAAACTGACAAGTACAGTCGATAACGCTAGCGTGAAAAGACAAAATTTTACAATAATTATCAGCCTTACGGTCAGTTGCACAAACGTCCATTAAGGTTTAATAACACCTTAAAGCTCTAAAGAATATCAAATTTGTATCGGTAATGTCCCTTTAAACTAATGAAAATTTAAATGGGCGTTTGTGCAACTAGCTGTTTATCTGTTGATCGTTAAGTTCCAAATTGTAGTAGCCATGTAGATAGTATTATTAAAATTTAAGATATTAAACAAATATATTTCAACATCTAGGGTATTAAGATATTATGCATTTTTATTATCCTTAGCTTTAAAAAAAATGAGATGTACAAATGATAAAAATTTAAATAAACACATGTGCAACTTACCCTCGGATTGATATGTTTAACAACAGGGAAAATATTCATAATATCGGCACTGCTGAATGTGGATTTGTTCTTGCTATCGAAATCATACTCTCGTAGCAACATTTGCAATCCCACTTTTAATGCGAAAGATCTGAAAACGAAAAGGGAAATAATTAATTTATAACTATTGAAAAGCTTAAGAGTAAAAATGATCAATGTCCATTGATTTACCTGAGAAGTGATATTTTTTGCAGACCATGTTTCTCTATTACAGACTCCATATTGTCAGCATTTAGTTCATAGCCCCAATATGACTGAAAAATAATTATATTTGCTATAAAAGAATGAAACACATTAAGAGCATATACGATAAATGCTTACAGTATACAACAAAATAAAATATAAAAATTATTGTAATTTGATTTCACTATTGTACAGTCAACTGCATGTCTATACAAATCTGCCAAGTTTTTTAGCCTTAATGTTTTGAAGAAGAGTATAAATCAACTAGACATTTAACATATTGTTGTAACCCCTGATGTGTAGCCGTAAATATAGCCACAAAACACTACTTATAACTATCACCTTTTGTATTATAAGTTTCGTATAATATATAGGCATAGAAGTTTACTAGACACCAATAGATAGAACATTTGTTATATCAACATAACGATATCTGGATGCCACTCGGTATAAGGTAGCATATATTTCTCTATAATATCGTTGGCTGCCACTCGCCATGACTTGTAAAATCATATAAGGCAAAGGGTTATCAGCCTTTACAGCAAAAAAAAATAAAATGCAATCTGATAATTAACTTTCGGTGACAGCTGTGTAGTACTGGACATTTGATAGACTCACAAGCATTATTCAAGCAATTTTAAGAGCTCAATGAGATTGAATACCTTTAGCTCATTTTTGATTTGATGGAATAACGCTTTAGGTGTCAGATTCTGCCAATCACTGGAATGGTGCTGTGGCGGCGGCTGCTGATGATGGCGACGAGTTCGACGACCGCGGCCCCCACGAGAGCCTCGCCCTGTAGCAGCTGGGGCTTCCCCGGCGCTAGCCACTGGTGACGGGCACCCACTCAGCAGACAGTTTAGGAAATGGGCCGCTGCTCCACCGATGCACATTGGTTCACAACCCTAAGCAAATATTTATCTCTGTGAGTACTACAGTTGGATAATTTAATGAGCCACAATTGACATTCAGTCATACCAGTCTCAAGTTCAAAGTAACCTCAAACAAACTAATGCGGCTAGATATTATTATATATATATTTTTTTAAACAAACTAATGCGGCTAGATATTATTATATATATATTTTTTTAAACAAACTAATGCGGCTACATATTATTATCATTTTTTCAAACAAACTAATGCAGCTACATATTATTTTCTTTTTTTTAAACTAAGTAATGGGGCTTCATATTCTTCATATTATATGTTGAAAAACAATATAATTGCGAATTTCTTTTATTTATTAAATTATGTTTATTATCTTTATAGAAATAAGTTCAAAAACTAAAACCCGAATACAGCTAAATTACACTCTAAAAAGTTTGAAACAAGCAATTTATTTTATACCGACAATTATATTATAAAATCAAAGGACAGCGTAGTCATATACCAATGATGACAACAAAACAAACTGTTAATATATATATTTGAACTGTGCTAATTAATTAAGCCTTTTCATTTGATACCCTATACAGAATGATTGAAAAATATTTTTTTTCTAGTTTCATACTTTATGCTCTCTAGAGTTGATGATATCTCATTTGTTCAGTTACGATAAGTAATTAAGGGAACAGATGAACATACATACATACATACCGGCCAAAATTATAATCCTTCGCTTCGCCGTAGTCGAGTTATTATGTCGTATATACGTAGTCGTTTATCTTCGGCTAATAAACCTTTACAAATGTAAAGTATCAATACATTCTTAATATTCATAAACGTCTGTAACGTACATTATAGCCTAGTTGGTGAAAGAATATTTATAATCGGTCCATTTTTTCAGAATCTATTCGAAGCAAACAAAACTAGCATATCTGTACTCTTTATAATATTAGTATAGATTTGTATAACTATAGTCACCTGCAGATATGTGGTGTATAGATGCTAAGCGGCGCGCAACAGCTCGCCGACCGCTATGGCGTGTAAGTAGTTGAAGTAGCTCGGTGGCACAGAGGATAAGCGCCGCGGCCCGCGATCATTGTTGTTAAGCAACATTCACAAGGGTCGGTCACGGGATGGGTGACCAAAAAATTATTATCTCGAGCTATTTCGTGCTTCGGAAGGCCCGTTTAGCTGTTGGTCGTTAATACCCTCCGATCCGCATTGGGCCAGCGTGGAGGGTCATGGCCCATCCTCCTTAACCTTAAGGAAAAGGAATGCCTGAGCCCCTGCAGTGGGGACGTAAAAGGGCTGATGATGATAAGTCACCTGCAGATATGTGGTGTATAGATGCTTAGCGGCTCGCAGTAACAGCTCGCCGACCGCTATGGCGTGTAAGTAGTTGAGGTTGTCGTGCGGACGGAGCGCGGCCGCCACCCGTCCCAAGTATCGCACGTTGATGCCGCGCGCGTGCAACGCCTCCGTTAAACCGGCGCCGTCCATAGGAGCGGAGGTGTGCTCCAAACATTCCCGTACCTACACCACCATATCACGTTATAACAATAATAAGATGAGTAACTTAAACGCGATTTTTTAATTTAAAAAAAATCAATAAATTACATCAATGCATCGAGTTAAAATATCGTATAACGTCATGCTTTTGTAATTTCCTAAGCTGTAACGTGTTGTAACATTTTCTTTCGGACTATATACGATTTTTTTTTACCTAGGCATCATCCTTGAATATATATAAATTCTAATAAAAACATGGGCCGGGATCTATCAAAAATATGGTAATAAAAAATCCTCACCAAGCGGAGGGCACACTTTTAAGTTTCTGTTCAGTTTAATATGACGAAATTAAACTCAATTTCAGACAGAGTTTCAAATTTATATAATTTGTAAGGATAGTTATAGAATAAAAGTTCCACTTCTCCGGAAAAACAGGTTAAGTTACAAAAATATCACAACTCATGGTAAACCAACCTCAGTAGATTAATTCTAAAGTGAAGGTTTATTCCTGGAATTTATTAATTTAAACACATAGTATTTCGAGAGGTTTTTTGGGTAGCCAACACAAATAATCTTTTAAGCCTTGTATCGTTTTATTCTTGTACAATTTCCATTAGTTTAGTAGTATTTAAATTACTGCAAAGCACGTTAAATGTACCTGTCGTAATAACACAATTAATAATGAAAAATTGAGGGTTTAAGCTTTCTTGAGGAGAAAGGGCATACAAAAAAAATTTTATAGTAGTATACTTAAAAATTATACATCATTATCGCGCGGGCATATCGATAAGTAGGGTTGTCGCACGTAATTATTCTTTTTTAACCATAAAAATTAATTTGTTTAGTATACTACACTCACAATTATATTACCAATAAAGCGTAATCAAAATATCTTATACGAGTAGCGCTTCAAACCTACGGAAATAAATACTCTTAGAATAAAAATATTGCTAACAAGCTTATCGTATTACTTTTTATTTTATTTTTCTAAGCAAACTAGTACCTATTGTTTATAAATAATAATCAGAGGTCGGAATTAGGTAGAGTTATTTATGTACTTGCATCGAAATGTTGATATTAATGTGGACCTTCCCGGGATTTCTTTATTTCTTTCTTTCATTGATGTAAATTTGGCAACGTCGCGCGTGCAGTAGTTTAAATTGTGTAAAAGTAAATAACTCTTTATTTAAAAAATCACGGGATTTTTTCTGCTCTTTAAAATTAATCTCGGGATTTGAAGCATATCCACTTTATTCTTTCGCTGTATGAAATCAATGTAAGTACATGAATAACTCTACCCAATTCCGACCACTGTTAATAATAAACCACAATGATTATTTAATAGAATTAGGCATTATCATACGGAAGTCCATTGCTAAAACGGTAAAACTAGAATATCTAGTAAGTGCTTGCCACTTATTGTAATTTTGAGGTTTTAACCATAAAAAATATTAAATTACATAATTAGAAAACAAAATGTAGTTAATTAGTGTGACATGACAATTCTAATCATCGATCGTCCTTGCCTTGACCCGAAATTGGCCGCGCGATAATGATGCTTAGTTATATTTTTTTATTTATTTGGTCTACTTTTAGTTTAATGCACTATTTTTTGTTTACATATCATAATCTAGGTTTAAATAGAATTCATAAACTAATTACAAGCAGACATATATCGATGCAGTGTTTTAATACAATAAAGTATATAACAAATTATACTCACAAAAGCGGGTATCTGTGTGGTGAGCAGAAACGCGGCGGCTTCCTTCACGAGGTGTCTCTGCTTGGCGAGATGTTCGGGCGTGGCGGCGTGCTTGATGCCCGCAGAGTATACGTCCGGATTGAAACGTACGTCGAATTCAGACTCTTTGAGAGATGCCACCGCACGCGCAGCCGACGCGACCACAGCTCGAGAACGTTCCCCGGCTAACATCAATTATTTTTCTTAAAGAGAATTGCTTAAAATATTCCACTTCGTCCTTGGTACTCCGAGATGGGATTCGAACTCATGACCTTTCGCAATTAGGCCGTAGCTCAGTGGTTAGAGCAGTCGCGCGATTTGCGACGTCGTGGGTACGAATCCCATCACAGAGTACCATGGGCGAAGTGGAATATTTAAGAATTTCTCATTAAGAATAATTTCCAGCATAGCATTGTGAATGCAAAATTGATCAAATCAATTATTTTTATGATTTACTAACTTTTCGCCAGCGGCTTAGCCCACGTAGTCCCTAGAGAACTCAATATTTGGATTTCGATTTATATGATGACACGAATATAATTACAATGTTATACACGAATATAATTATGTATAATTACAAATTGAACAGTAAACAATCGTGTTACTGTGGTAACGTTTTAATTCCCTGTACAAACTACAATTTTCATCCCTTTATTTTGCTGTTTTTCGGGATAAAATATAGCTTATGTCTACCGCATATTATGTAGCTTCCCGTAAGTGAAAGAATTTTTAAAATCGGTCCAATAGTTTCGGGGCCTATTCGTTACAGACAAATAATCAAATCATTTAATATTTAATTACAGGCCTATCTCGATTTTACCAGTTATATCAAAAATATTGGAGAAGTTGATAAATAACCGTCTGATTGAGTATTTAAATAAATATAAAATAATTTCAAATATGCAATTCGGATTCAGACGAGGAATAGGCACAGAAGATGCAATTACTGCACTAACATCACTCATTGTTGACCAAGTGGACAAAGGGAACAAATGTTTAACAGTGTTTTTGGATATAAAAAAAGCTTTCGATAGCGTCTCAGTTCCTATTCTTGTAGAGAACCTAGAGCTTATTGGTATACGAGGGGTTCCATTGCATTTTTTCGAAGATTATCTAACAAACCGCAGGCAACAGGTCAAAATGGGTGAGCATTGTAGTCACGACTCTACCATTACTTATGGAATCCCACAGGGAAGCGTTTTGGGTCCAACACTATTTTTAATATACGTAAACACTCTTTGTAACATGACAATACATAATGGAAACGTATTTTCTTATGCAGATGATACTGCTAAAGTGTTTTGCGGGAAAAATTGGAAGGAGGTTCGTGAAAGTGCTGAAATAGGCTTAGTTAGGATTGTACGATGGTTAAAAACTCATCATTTGACTCTCAATGCAGCCAAGACAAATTATATATGTTTTTCCAACTATATTAGAACGCAGCCTAAAAATTTTAATATTAAAATACATTATTGTAATGACTTCTCTAGCACTCACTGTGTATGCCCCCAATTAAGTAAAGTCACCAGTACAAAATATTTGGGTATACTGTTGGACCAGCGTTTATCCTGGCATTTGCATATAGAGCTGTTAATGACAAGAATCCGAAAGATTATTTGGCTTTTTAAAAATCTAAGATATCTGACAACAACACAAGTAATAAAACAAATATATATTTCCTTAGCTCAATCAGTATTGTCGTACTGTATTAGCATATGGGGAGGTGCAACGAAAATTAAATTTTTGGATTTAGAGAGGGCACAAAGATCGCTATTGAAAGTTATATACTTTAAACCTTATAGATTTCCAACTCAAGATTTATACTCCCTTTGTGAACTTCTAACAGTCCGCAAATTGTATATATTAAATATTATTCTCAAATTACATAAGACCCTTGTATACGACCCGGTATCTGATAATAGAAGGAGAAATAAAAATGTAGTAACAAATATAACCGTAAAAACAGCATACGCTGGACGGCAGCAATCAAGCCAGTCAATTTATTTATATAATCACATAAACAGACAACTGAATATATATCCTAAAACCACCAAAGAATGTAAAACAGCCCTAGTTGAATGGCTTAATAGCAAGGATTATAATGAAATTGAAAATATTATAAAATAATTCTAAAATAAACAAGTACGCACGCACACAATTCACACACACAGTCACATACTCGCCACATACACGCACACACACATAGACACACAAACACATACGTACACACACAACAAAATACATATTATATCTCTGAATTCATTTAATTTTTCTTAAACTCTAAAAGAGATAAGATATTGCAAAAAAAAAAAAAAAAGAAAGAATATTGTAAAGTTTAGCTACCTATGTAATGTAAAAAGGAAGAGCGAGGTCTCCTGAAACAGGTATGATAAATACTTAAAAGGGGACTTCATGATATATTGTAAATGGTAAACTAAGCTGAAGAATAAACATTTTTGTTTTTTTTTTTATTTTTGATTTTGATTCTAGATGCGTCTGTGCGATCGCAATAGCAGTATGTTTATCCACGAGTGAACGAGATATTCGGCGACCGTGTCATAGCTTTCTTCAATAAATGGACACTAACAGTGCTATCAATAAACAAGGTTTAGCGTCAGAGTAAATTTACGTTAAAATTGTAATTTTAGTATTAGTTCAAATACATATTATACATAGAATAAGCAAACTTACTACCTTTTAGGTGTAAATATTACTCTCGTAGAACATCGTACTAGATTAACCTTTGCTAAATCTCTGTCAAATAATATGAATTTTGACTGATACGAAGTGCAGTCCCAGCGTAAAAATAACATTGTACAGGAATAATATTATAAGTTTAGATGTATAATAGAAAATATCAACAGCCTATTAAATTAAAAGTCTTTCGGTCAGTTGCACAAACGTCCATTAAGGTTTAATGATGCCTTTAAGCTCTGAATGAATCTCAGCTATGAATGTCAAATTTGAATGGGTAATGTCGCTTTAAACTAATGACAATTTTAATGGAAGTTTGTGCAACTGGCTGTTAAAGTAATTAAGCAAAAGCAAACGAAATATTTAACAATATTTTTTATAGATTTTTTTTTTCAGGTATAACAAAGATTAATATATGAAAAAAAAAATTATAAGAAAACGGAATTAATTTGAATTCAACCTGAGTTTTACTATAAAAGAGCATAACATAAAAAATTAACAGCTACATATGCAACTGAAAAAATATATACTTGAAATATAATACTTACAGTCACTTTCTTGTTTGTCACCACTGCAAATGGAATCAGTGATACTCTCAACAATCTTTTTGGCCACATCTGTGTCTATATCAGAATAATTATCGTTCAACAACAGTTCCTCATCTTTGTCTTTCTCCACTTTAACATCTTTTGTAGTTGAAGCTTCATCTTTTTTAGCCTCCTCCTTTTTGGCACTTTCCTTCTCTTTCTTCTCCTCTTTCTTTTGTTTCTTGTCTTTCACTTCTTTTTCTTGACTCTTGGTATCACGTTTGATTTCTTTTTTTTCAGTCTCATTGGTACCCTTAACTTCTTCTTCCTTTTTAACCTCAATAGATTTTTGTTCGCCAGCATCACGCTGTCTCTTCGCACTCAACTGTTGCAAGTGGAATGCAGCATAGCGAATAAACATAAAATAACGAGCCCTAAAACAATAACTAATGTTCAAGCAAACTTAGTTACAAAAATTCACCATTTTAATTGTTTAGTATAAACTAATTAACTTACTCAACGAAACTATCGACCAACTCCTGTCTAAGGCAACATAGTTTGTGCTTATGAATAATAGGGAAGCCCATAGATTTGACATCTTCTCTCAATTCATCATCTTCCACTGCAAAAAAAGCAAAAACTCATGAATAATAATTTAATCTTATGCTACCACAGCACTTCCTACCCTTGGAAGTAGGTGAAACGCCAAAACTAACCATGAAAGCAGATAACAAAAAAATTTACATAATAAGTAACGGGTGAATGTGATGGCAACGATTCATAAATATGTAATTATATCATGGTAGTTCCCCATATTTGTATAATTTTCAAGCTAGTGATGAAGCCCCCACCAAATAAAAACAAGTGAGGTAAATTTGGCAATCGAAATGTAAAATTGTTTTACAAACGTATTTTGATTGGCGACTCTACCGGAGTCACTGACATGGTATCTTAATAAGCAGTGTATTAGTTCAATTAATATATTATCATAAGTTGCAGGGCCGGCCTGTCCATAGAGCCAAATTATTGCAATCTTAAAAATTTTGTCCACCATTGAGCCGGCGCTGATAAGGAGTTACAATAAACTCACGTTGCAGGAAATTGACATCAGGCGGAAAAGTACGCAGCAGGTCGAGAATGTAATGACGACCGTCATTGCCGATGATGCCTTTGCACTCCACACTCGAACAAAGCTCCACAGTCTCACCATTCGCACTGATCACCGAATGAGGCATTATCTTCAGTTGCTGACCCGCTTTGCTAAGCTGTTACGTGAAATATATAAATGTATATAATTTATACTTAAGATTAGCTGTAAAAAAATATATACTAGCATCGAGAAGAGCGAGATAGATAGACCAGGCAATAGAGTATTCTACTCTGTTTGAAATAGTACTAATACATTAATATCTCTGAAAAATAAACAAGTCATTATTTATTTTTTTTATGTCCCGAAAACGCGGTCCGCCATATGATTACGTTATGGCGGAAAACAGATGCATAGAGTAGTGGATTAAAAGATGTCAATAAAACAATAACAGAGTCATCTAACGATCGACTACAAAATAAAAAGATAAACAGCTTCATTTAAGAATTTGATTCATATCCGAGAGGCATATGTTGACGACTAATCTGTCAGTGGCAAACAAAAAAATTTGACTTTCATTTTAAAATAATAAAATTATTATGCGATTTTATGACCCAAAATCAGAATATCTATGTTTATTTTAATGTTTGTGCAATTTCGTGACTTATTTTTCAATTATCATATCGTCACTACCAAAACTACCCTAATATATACACGCTATCATTATATTGTGTGTTTGTATTCATTCGTACCAAACCGCTTTATTAACACTCTTTCAAAGAACGTAACTTCCTAGACAAGAAACACTTGAGATCATAAAATTTTGGTCACCCATCCGATGACCCGCCTATGTGAAAGTAGATTAACCATGGCATACAAAACCAACACGCTAACATATGCTCCATTGAGTTCCTTACTCACCAGTTCCATATACTTCGGATGTGAGAGCACCGTGGTGCCGAAGTCGATACTGCCATAGACTACACTCTGCTCCTGTTCTTTCTCCAGTATACCAGGTATGATGGACTGTGCGGTCACACGATATCCACGGTAATCTACCACCACAGTGCCCAGTGTATGCAGGCCGGGAGTGTCCACTGCACTGTATACGCGGACGCCTTGCAAGTCGTTGCGCTAAAATATTTTAAAAAATCATTACCCGTTCCTTTTCACCTTACAATAAATGAATGCATAAATATATATATTTACACAGAAACAGAAACACACATGATTAGGAACCTAGACGCAAAAAGCCACCTTACAGCTAAGGTAGCAATCGAAATAAATAAAATATAGTCTATATTACTCGCTGATAAATTGGCATTGATGAAAGAAACCTTAATCTTACTAGACTTTCCAAGATAAATCTTGGAAAGCAGCTTTTACGAACAGAAAAAAACACAATAAGCCAATCAAGGTTACAACATTGTCACTTCGTAAATGCTTCATAGTAAAATTAGACGAAAAAATATTTATAAAAATATTTAGAAAAAAATATTAAACAATAAAAAATATTTAGAAAAAAAATTTAATAATAAAAAATATTTTATATATAAATATTATTATGTCTCATTGTTGTGTTTAAAACTGTTTGATATATTTTTTTTATCAAAAGACTAAATATTACCAAACCTCTATATGATTGACGTGAATCAACATGCGTGTAAACACTACCGTTGCCGACGACGACGACAATAAAACCTTTCTATAGTGTTTGTATACTTTTAATATTTTGTTTTATTATGTCATTATATAGAAAAAATATTGAAACCCACGACTTTTTATTTTGGAATTATTATAAACTACAAATCAAGTGTGCAACTAACCGGAGCAACGAACGCGGCAGCGTCACCACCGAGATCCTTGTAGTGGTCGCGGACGTCGAACCCTAGCGAGAAGAATATGTTGTTCCAAATGAACATTTGCATCTTTGGCTCCTCGCCAGGGTTTATCGCCATCACGTTGCCATCCACAACAGCCATAGCCCCACGCGTCGCTGCCGCCACGAAATCGCTATGGACCTGTGAATATTGGAAAATAACTATAACACTTTTCATTGTCAATGTCTTTTAATTGTAGAACTCCGTAGACGATGAGTAGCTAAAGTATCTGAGACAACGAAGGTACCATATACACCCACATCCGAGACAATATAAAAAATTCTTTTTTTCATTTATCCGACCGGTACTCAAATCTCAAAGATTGACCGTGAAGCTGGAGTAATATCCTCGAATACGGATTATTAAAAAAAAATTTTTTTTTACTTGATTAATTTTGCAATAATCACCGTTTTCTGTGAAGAGTAGAATTAAACATTTTCTTCGTTTAATATATAGTAGTAAAATATTTTAGTGAAGTTGTTACTTAATTAAGTAGATGTAATGTTATAAAAGTAACTCAACGCCTTACCTTGAAAATGGCACGTTCTCGCAATAGTCTTTCTGGCAGAGTGGAGCGGGGCAACTCCCTTGTGGTCTGCAACTCTTCATTCCAATCGCGTGTCTGCCCAGGAATATGTTCCTCATAACCCAGTTTAGATGAAAATGCTACAATAAACAAAACATCTACTCTCAATACTGACACATAAGAATTAAACTGTTATTTGCGTTACATACTTTTTGCTTTAAAAATAAGCGGAACTAAACTTATGTTAACTAAAGGCAACATGGAAAATGTAACCTTTTTGAAAACTCTATTCTTGACTTTTTAACAACTTTTCTATTTAAATGGTTTTTCAATTTGACAAACGAGGCAAGACGTGACTAGCTTTTCAAATTTACTAAAAAAACATCGTTTATTTGATAAGTTATTTTTTAAATCAGTTAAAAAAGTTTATACTATGAATAAAGCTGTATAACACTGTATCATAATTGAGATAATCTATTCAATAAAACGTAGGCAATGTAAACACTATGGTACAAAACTGACTAAAGATAAATTTCTTCTGTAACCAAAAGATAACAAAAAAAAATATGTAAACAAAACTGACTGTCTTCAGCTCGTATGGCGTCAACGGTGTGGTCTAGCATCGGTGAAGACCACTGGTACACTTGATAAGGCGTGGCGACACGTTCAAATGGGTGCTTTGCCATTCGCCTTTTTTGCACCATGGCAAAATTGCGCTTGAACGCCGGCGATACAATGCTCAATAATTCAATCAAAGAGTGACACAGCAGGGACGGAGTCGAGGGGCGTGGATTGAAAACTTCTTCGGTGGATCTGTTAAAAAAAAATTCAGTGTTCCAACATTTGTTTATGAGATGTACGAATCAATATGACATCCGACGGCCTACTCTATTTGTCCTCATACGTAAATTCTGAAATTAAAAAATGTCGAATTATTCTTTCAATTATATTAATAATACGATTTCGAAGATTGTGCATCAGAGGCAATTTCAGGTGTCCTCCTTTTTCTTTCCTACTTTGTATTATAAATTATCCAAAAATGTGTTTCTTAGGAATTGTAATAACGTTTCCGGAGAAATAGAATAGGCCTTCAGGTGTCCAATTTATACGTTCGGTAGGTACATCATATTCGATACATTATTTAGTAGTAGAAGACAAGCATCAACGGTTGCAAGAAAAGAACTATTATTTTTATAAACCTAACAATCTAGGCTGTTACATGTGAATATTGTTTTATATCCAAAACCAATAGCTTGGTTATCTAACCAAAACGCATATCTATGCGTTAAAAGATAAATGTAGTTACTGGTTGAGGTAGAATCCTCTCGGACACGCCGTGATATGGAAGTGGCGGTCCTCGAGGGTGACGACATGCAGGTAGAGCAGATCGCCGCACATCTTGCGCGGACCCGGCGGCGGATTCCAACCTGACGTCGTGAGCACCTGCCCAACATATACCTTATGTCAACTACATAAGATTTAATCCAAAGCGTAACTGTTGAGCAACGAAAACTATCCTTTGTAATGGGAAATCGCATGCTTTGATATTAGTAAATAGGTGTATACAGTATTAAAATGATTGAACTTGTGCACCAGATTTAAACATGTTTTATGTATAAAAATCTTGTTTATCAGAAAAGCGTTTAAATTAGTGAAGATGGTACACAAAAATAAGATACCTTAACCAAAAAAAAGTATATTAGGTATACATTAAAATCCAATTTGAAATACCTTGAGACATTGCGATGCTTTATTTTCTTTAGTGAGACCTGGATGAAGTGGTAACAAAGGCCGTTCGACACTGCCAGGCATTATGTAGTCAGGGGGAGTGCAGTCTACACTTTCTGGACGAGATTTCTTTTTCTCTGAAAAAGACGTTTGTCCGTGTAAAGAAGTGCAATGAAGTTCTACAGCCAAAGATATTATTATACAACAGTGGCGTAGCAAGCCTCGGCGGGGCCCCGTATAAATTTTATTTTTGAGGGCACTTATGAAGGGTAATGATTTCTCACAAAAGAAAATGAATGTTTTTATAAATTGCGCGAATTTTAAAATCGATTATTGTGGGATTCTCCTGTTTAAGTAAATAACTAAAATGGAGAAATCATGCAGCCCGCAAAAACCGATGTAGGGTTTTGCTAACTTTGAAACGCACGCTTTACACATGAAAAAAGAATTGCTCTTTTGGGCTTTTGTCATTTCTGGAATAAAAAGATATATGGGAAGTTTTTATTAATTTTTACTCACGCACGTTGAGGGCCCCCGTAGTCCGGGGGCCCCGTATAATTGATACGGCAGGTACGGCGGTAACTACGCCCCTGTTATACAACATAATGTTTCAAAAAATATAGGTTGTGTAAGTATTCACCCAATATGTCGCCCTGCGTAATGACATTAAGGAAGGCGAGAGAACTGCATTCTTGACCTGCATAGGCGTCAGTGAAGTCAATAGACTTCAATAGATCACGCACGTGGCGAACGTGAATCCTAGCCTCACGCATTGTGTACGGCTCTTCGACTACCTGTAAATTGTTAACTACTAATTATCTATTTAAGCAAAAAATACATTCAAGAATAAACATAAAACATTACTATCGAAAATTCAACAAATCATAGATAATATTTAAACTCACCTTAATAACAGAACCTTCTTTTAAGCCTTCAATATTTTTTAACTCAGCGAAATTGTCTAAAGTTATCCCATCAAGCTGTAAAGAGAAGCAAGTCCTGTGACAGGTATCTTCGCGATCCATTAAAACTTGATGTATTTCTTGAACCAATTCCATGCTGGACACCTGAACAAAATAAAAGTATAGATAAGTTAGGTATGAAAACTAGTGTTTTTATCTTTTGAACGGCACACTGAGATTATGCTTGCATTATACCAAACATATTACTGATCACAAAATATGCAAGTTTTGCTAATAAGTTGAATTATAGCGTTAAATTATACTGTTCAAGTCTACCTGTATATCTAATGGTTCAGCGCCAGGGCTAACAATTTTTACAGTAAATCCCATGTCTTGGATAAACAAAACTTCAGGATCTCTTTTCTTATCGTCATCATCTTCACTCGGGGTAGACTCTCTATATTTGTCACCATTAACCATTTTGCTACTTTCACCATTTGTTTTATCAGTCTGTTTGTCACAATTCTTTGTTAAATCATCGTCTTTCTTACTCTCGGCGATTTTAAGAGCAGAATCCGATTTTTTTCCTGTATCATTTGTATTAGTCATTCCTTTAATTTTATTGTTGTCTTTTTTCTTTTCTGGCGCCTGTTTACTGTCTGAAACTTTAATTGGGCAGACCGCAGGTACTGTTACATCACGCACTTCATTAGATGTACTCGATTTCGTTACACTTAAGTCACTGTTAATTCCATTAGTTACTACTTTAGTATTATCATTACTACTAATATCACAATCTGAATCTTTTTTTTTATTACCGTTAATTTTTTTTGCATGTGAATTTTCTGTTCCGTTCACTATTGGTTCTTTGGTACTTATAACATTTTTCTTACTATCATTTGATATTGATTCTTGACTATTAATTTTTGTTACCGAATTTGCTGCCTTCACTTGTAATGGCTTCTCGTTATTTACTTTGTCTTTTTGTGATTCTGAAAATAAATAAAAATCCTTCATGAAATACAATTGCTTATATAACATATATTAAACCTGGATATAATACATAGAGTAGGTATTGCACTTTATGCCTGATTCAACATTAAACCTAAAAACTAATATATTCATACTATTACATGTATTAAATTGTAAACATCGTCAGCTTACATATTTTGCTAGAATTATTATAGCCTACCTAACCTATACATATCTTTTACCTATCTATAAAATAAAAGCTGACTGACTCATGGTCGTCCAACATAGCGCTTAGTTCAGGAATTTCAAAATATGCATGGGACTGGATTATACACTGTAAGATTACTAAGAACAGATTATTGAAATTCCAAACCTCGATAACTTAAAATGTATTGAATGGAACAAAACGTCGTAGTTTTGAAAATTGGCATTTGGCTTTCTAATAAAAGTAAAATAAGCGAAACTCATTCTCATCATTATGACTCTAGTATGAAAGTTAAAAATGTAAAATGTATCCCATAATGGGTTGACTGTTTATTGAAAATATATGATAAATATGAAAATTGGTGTTAAAATAATTAGGTATCTATAGTCAGACAAAAAACAAATATCATTTACATATACATATATGTATAGTGTTTGGATGTTCAACTACTAAATGGGTGAGAATAGATATTAGCGAAAAGGGGACCATAATACATATACGTATTTTCCTAGAGAGAACTGTTCTTTATTTGCTGTTTCGTATATGGATTATCTGGTGTTTATTTTATAATCTAATATGACAAACTGACGATATTTACAAGTTTGCATTGACATATACATATATATTTACGCTAGTACTCTAACATTAGACATAAACATGAGTACAACGTAATAAGACTATAGGCTGCCTTGCTCAATGATTTAACACAAATAGTAAATCAGCAAAAGCACCTGTATTTAACGGGAAAGGTGCAGGAGTGCTGTTGCTTTGCGGCGATGGCGGTTTACGTGCAGCAGCTGCATAAGAAACCCTAGGTGTAGGAGCAACACTCCTGCCACCACCCTCATCGTCACCGCGACCGTTAGGCACACTCGCATGACCGTTACTGCAGGACACTCTGACGGTGGCCTCCATTTTCATCTTTGAAATTTGCTTCTCTTGTTTCTCAACTAAAACAAGAAAACATTGATATCTTTAATTTTAACTAACGAGCACTACCGCAGTGTAGCAGAATTCTAAATGTGCGTGTACTTTTATAGTGTTCTCAAACTTTTATATCATTTAGCTTTTATAAAAACCGTAAATATATTTTCGTTTTTATTGCCTTTAATAACATTGGTGTATCGGGGCCATCTTTCCGACCTACAAGTTATAGAGTTAGAACAGCTAGAAGCTTTAGGCGGCCGGCAAACGGGCGAGTACGCTCCTCTGTCCCGTGACGCGCGAGCACGTGGTCTGCGCTGGCGCGCCGCCAACTATCTCCAACAGAGAGTCAATAATAGATGGCAACGGGATGCCGCCAACAATAGACGCCATCGATTTCGACGCGGCTACATGTGTGCAACATTTCGTCTAATAAGAAGTTAGAATTTATATATTATCATTTGTTTTCAAAATTTTCGTGCACTAGACCATCGTATGATTTGTTTCCTGGCCGCGTTTCATGAAATATTGTTAGCGAATAAAGACCGAAAAAGTTTTAATATTAAACTTGAAACTGATTCAGTCAATCTAAGCTACACAATCAGTGATATCGGTAGATGGATAATGTACGGCCTAGATCTAATCACGATAAATATCAATACCTATACGATATGATAAGATTGATAAGCGAGCAAAAAGCGAGAGATTTTATCAACTTGTGAATGAACTTTTAATACACGGTTAATTTTTCTATACAACATATAAATGCAAAAGTCACTAAAACAATAATCTAAGGAAACGTTGATATTAACAACTTTCGAAAAAAAAGCTTTATATAATGTTTCGAAACATCATCAGGAAATTACTCTTCTAAACAAGCCCGCATAGAAAATCTAACGAGCCAAATATAAGTTTTTACACAAAAAGATAACAAGTTATCATAAAAATGTTATCATACTATGCGTTTTTAAACAAGATAAAGTAGCAAAGCAACATGGGGCGCCTGCGTCTTACTCAAGATAAGAAGAAATCAAAGTTGATAACCAGACGTTGACATAATTTCATTCCGTCAGTCTCAATTAATACTGTTGAAATTTTTAAAGCATGTAAAAGAGTTATATCCACATTTAAGAAAATATATCCACCAGTGACAATCAAAACACTTGCATTAGAAGACAAAAATATGCCGTGTTGATATCATATAGATGAAAAACCTTTCATATAGAATGCAGATAAACTTAACAAACAGATTAAATCTTGTAACCGACAGGGTTGGCAAGCTGAGATCGCTTACTACTCGATGAATTATGCAAAGGGTTCTGACATGAAGTGCCCACCGCGACGACGCCTGAATATTTAACCTTTGACTTGATCGTTTATGTGTATTTTCCTTGACACTAGATTAATTTAAATGCCATGAATTGTTCAGTGTAAGTTCACCAAAAATAGAGATATGTATTTGACGAGAGTTTATTTACTAACTCATTGCTTATTAACAAAATCGAACAAAATTTTGACATTCAACGACATGAAGACCGATAGATTTGAAACTGTCAAAGTGTGAGGCATATTTAAATAGGAACAAGTAGGTATTTCTGCAAATTTTTACCATTCAAGAAAAAAATCAAAAACGTATACTTTTAGGGTCGGCAAAAAGCCAACGGATACGCGTTGGGTCTCAGATGAAGGTAGCCTTGTACGCGATGGACCATCATTCCTCGTCATAATAAATATTTTGTTAGTTATGACATTTTCCGACGGATGATACGCGTCGCATCTTCGCTCAAATGTGTGCCGACCCTTCCCATCCCTTTGGACTTTGAGGACTAACCAAAGAGTGAATCACAGACTAACATAATATGACAAAAGCATAGAAGAATAGATATTATGGACATAACAAGGGTCATAGATTACAAGGACACAAATATTATAGCCTATGGGTATAAGTAATTTATCATTCATGATATATCAAGTAACAGAAGAAATTTCCGTGTATAACGGAACAAGTCCATACTGAAATAAAAATAAAAATAAAAAGTAACAGAAGAATATAAAAGGTTGAATTTAACTTTAAGTGGTCGAATTAAAAGTGTACTGCACTATTTACGGTGCGGTAACTAGAGAAATATTCAAAACCATTGTAGCTATTAACGCTCGCACCGCAAATTAGATGCATAGAGCATGGCAACTGAATTGTAATGCTGTGCGTCTGCCAATTACATAAGCGAGTCAGACTTGAATGATCGACACGACACGCTCTGCTCGGTCGCACTGTCCCATGCCGGTCAGACAGACATCATCACAACCACAGCCCAACCGTTTATAAATGGAGCATCTTCACGCTCAAATTTATCAATAGACGAAGTCGTAATCGTTATCTACCTGTCATTGAACCTTACTGACTTCGTTCAAAATAGCTTACTTGAAGTAGGTTGGGGGTTACGGCTTATTTGCTTTGGGGCCACAAGTAGTGAAATTTCCAAAATATAAACTAAAACGCCTACTAGTTAGATCTTCGAAAAAACAAGAGTTGAGAGACAGCAACAGGCTTGGATCGACAACTTATTCCAACCGGGGTGGCAAAAACTAAGGCAAAATGCTAGTTGAGATTCTATTGAGATACGATTATTACGTAAAAATTATTGCCTTGGTATATATGTTTTTTACGCCTATATTCACAGATTCCTCCGCGAATTGTAGACCGATTTTTAAGACATTTTATTTCATAATTTATGTCGGCTTAAAATTTTGAAGATTTAGGCCGAAAGTCAAAAGGTAGGTAGGTAAGGTAAATATTAAACAAGAGTTAGTAAGTCTTGTGTTCAATCATCGATAGTTCTTCTGAATTGTACACTCTTGACGGTTGTTTGCTCTGATGGCGTAATAAGTGCGTAACTACCAAATGACACAAATAGTTCATATTTAGCTAAACATGTATCATGGGCAAAACCTGATAAATAACAAATAATAGTAATGGATTAATACGAAGAAAACTTATGGTGAAGGATAAATGTTAATAGTCCACCTGGTAAACAGTGATGCCGTCCAGCCGTGACAAATTCCGTTAAGTCAATATTAACAAGTTTCAGATAAGGCAGTCACGATTTCACTATTAGAAAGTCAAACCCTTTGTGAACAGCTCGACTTTATTATTTTTTAGTATTGAAATCCAGCTAATTTTTAAAACATTATGTTGTCAGTTTACTTGGAACTATGTAATATCTTATTTAGCACTTTAGTATTCCCAGATAATATTTAGGGTACTGGCTGTTTTCCCGCGAAGTCGCCCGTGAAGTAAATTATGGTTTTTGTCATCCACAGCTTCCCTGAGGTGAAAGAACTTTTAAAACCGATTCTGTAGTTTCGGAACCTATTCAATACAAACAAATAAACAATAAAGATTTTTCACTCTTATAAGCTTAGATAGAAATACAGATAGTAAAATACTTTTCATTCAAACAGCATTATATTTTTGTAGTAGATAACAATTCAAAAAAAATTTGCCTTGCCGTAGAAACTAAAATATGCCCGAGTGCCACGTCTATATTATCAGCAAAGTAACACGACTTCCACTCGATACATTTCTCACGCTTCAAATCAGAGGATTGGAATAGTGTTGTTCAAATATAAGTTGTACTCAAGTGATATTATGATTATGTAGATATATTTCCTTATCTGATGACTATAGAAATATTGCAAATAGCTGCTCCCTCGACTGCGTAATGTATAGCCTAAATTACCCGTGAATGATGTAGCTTCATTTAAATTCGGTCCAATAGTTTCTCAGAGTCCATTCAATGTCGAACTCGAGGCAAGATTTGAATGTTTAATGAAATGTATCCTCTTTTTAATATTAGTATTATCAGATCTTGTAATTTACCTTCTTGTTAATTAAAGGGACTAGAAATGTACTTCGATGTTCAGTTTTATACTAAACTAGCTTTTGCCCGCGACTTCGTCCGAGTGGTAAAGTTAGTTTAAGCAGCATTTCTAACGAAAATTTATTCATTATATCGTATGAAATATCTGAAATAAAGTTTCATTTATCAAAATTCTTAAATTCTTAGGGGATGCCTACGTCATAATAGCTTTGCTTTATGCATGCAAATTCTGAGCCCGATCGGTTTAAAATTGACAAAGTTTCATACAAACTTTCATCCCCTTGGGGAAATAATTGATAAAAATCCTTTCTTAGGGGATGCCTACGTCATAGTAACTTTATACATGCAAAGTTTCAACCCGATCGGTTTAAAATTGACAAAGTTTCATACAAACATTCATCCCCTATTTTATCCCCTTGGGGGTAGAATTGATCAAAATCCTTTCTTAGCGGATGCCTACGTCCTAACATCTACCTGCATGCCAAATTTGAGCCCGATCCGTGCAATGGTTTGGGCTGTGCGTTGATAGATCACTTTGATAGTCAGTCACCTTTGAGTTATATATAGATAGTTAACTTCTGGAAAAGACACATAACTTAGTCACTTCTGTACGACGCTTAACGACTTAACATAATTGTGAATTTGTGAGGTTAGAATTTAATGTTTTTAGGTAAAATAAGTATTTAGAGGTCAGGAATAACCTTGTTCAAATAATCATTACATGATTATAACGAATATTATTCAATGTGCGAGTATTAAAAAAACACAATAAAAAATAGAAGTTACATACAGCAGCACATCAAGTTAATACGAAATTTATTTATTTATTTCTTTTATTTAAATGTCAAAATCCCACAATCGATTCGGTACTGACAACGCACTAGGGGTTAAAAATGATGTGAGATATTTAGTTATACCTACATCTGTCATGTTAATTATATCATGAAGTCCATCACACGTGTTGCGATACGATAGATGTCAAACGACATCGTTGGCTGATTGAACATTTTCGATCGTTTGTTAAGAAGGGCACCTAAATCAAAATTACTAAAATGATTTCAAATTAATGAGCATTTGTTATATTTTCTCTATAAAAAATAATTAAAAGAGAAATATCTTAGTATTTTGTTAACGACCCATAATAAAATCTCCGCCCGGCTTCAATAGAAGTTTCATGATTATAAATACCTAAGTACGGGTTAAGCATCACTTTTTACATTTTTAGGATTTTTTAAGAATAAAATAAACCTATTTTTATTCGTCGTTATCTATACTTAATATTATAAAGAGGTTTGTTTGCAGGGAATAGATACTCTCCAGAAATACTGATCTATCACAAAAAAATCTTTTACTTACGTGAATGTTTAACTGGCTTTTATTTATGAGTACAACAATTAATCAACGTAACAAAACAAGTATTAATGAAGCAAAATACACGATTTGTTCGGTTTTGAGTGAATTAGGTATGTCGTCAAAGTATGTTTTTTTTTATTCTCAAGTAGATGCGTCAAAAAAACTTGTGTATTCTCCTAATTACATTTTCTCCTACCGAAATTGACATGTGGAGACGTGGACACTAACAGATGGCATAGGGAAAGATCTATGCTTCGGATATCTCTTCGTGATCGTATCAGGAATACCGAGATACGTAAACGGACTGGTGTTGTGGATATAGGGAAGCGAGTGGCTAAATTAAAGTGGCATTGGGCTGGCCATATAATGAGATGCTCAGATGGACATTGGAGCCAAAAGATAAAAGAACCATATGGCGACCACGAACATCCAGCAGAAAACCAGGAACAACAAAGGCAAGTCCGATAATATCGTTCAAACAGCCGGCAAATCATGGATGCGTGTGACAACCTGCAGATCACGCTGGAGGGAGTTGGGGAGGCATATGCCCAATACTGGACAGACAAATGCTGATAAAGAAGAAGAAGAGCAATTTGGGTAACATTTTGCATAATATGATAATCATTTGTATGTGTTTTGCTCTTTGACTGAATTATGACTTGTTAACAAGTCATTTCTAGGTTTCCACACCTCAAGTAAAAATGGAATCTTTAAAGGATCACTCTTATGTCGGTCTGTCTGTTCATCTATCACAGCTGAAATGACATACTCAATCAATTGAGTTGAAGATTTAGGGTTTAACCTCATGCTGTTATACATTTGAGTGAAGTTATTAGAGCGAGTAGGAGTAGTCAAGAGGGTGGATACACCCAAAATCACTAACAGTAATCAAATAATTATACTTATATTCCTCAATGATAATTTGAATACCCATCTACCTTTTACCTCTAGTTCAGAGCGAAGTAGAAAAGACTGATCGTATATCAAATATAGATAGAGTAGTTCTTAAGTCAATTCCCTCTCCAGATAGAGACAGACATAAGCATTACATGAACTTTAGTAATCATATTACTATTTCATTATAATAATATTGATATAGATTATTAAATTATTATTATTAATTAGAGTAAATTGATATATGTTAAATTCAATCCTGCAGATCATGCACAGTTTCAGGTCAACTGAGTAGTTAACTGTTTTTGTGAAATAGGTGATTTTATATGTATAAAAAGTTCATTATCAGAACAAAATACAACCTTAAAGTAACTTAACAAACTTGCCTCTTCTGCCAAGCAATAATGCATACTCTACTCTAATTACTAAAATAATCAGCATCACTTGTTTTATTTTATTTTCAGGATATTTTAATCAATTTTAGTATGTTTTGTTAAAATGGAAAAAAAAATCTGAAAATTTCAACTTTTTAATTATTTATTGCATTTAAAAAACACAAATGGCGGACTTAATGCCTAAATAAAGGCATTCTCTGCCCATCTACCAGAACAAGATGTTGAAGTTTGGATGCACAGTTCATGAGATGAACAGCGAAATCTGAGTGAGAGTTCCAGAGAAACTAGATAAACTAAATTGATTAATGATTCAACCATAGGCATAAAATTTTACTTAATAAAATTTTGGCATAAGGGGTGGAGATCAATGTTTTTCCTTCATATAAATTAAACTTATGTCAAAATATTTTTTTTTCAATTAGCTGTCTTTGTAAGATAAGTATTTCATGACATATCCATCAACAAAGACTTCTTGTTAGTACACTAAATCTGCAGCATTTTTAAAGCAACAGCACACTTAATTATCACATACTTTAAATTTTAATAATCTTACTACACTATCATCATTGTGGTAATATTGTTTTAAAAGAACATTAAAAAAACAACAGACATATTAAAATTATTACTATTATTATTAAAGTAATACATTATATATTATTAGACAGTTTAAGTTCAATATGTAAATCATATTTTATTATAAGTAGGTACCTACAATAAATATTTTATATTTATATGGATTGTGTTCATACATGAATGAATGTCAATATGCTGTCCTTCATCTAGCACTTGATAAAAAGATACTTGAAAAATATGATAAAAAGTTAATAAATAAATATATATAGTTACGAATTCTTAGATATATGGTTGATTTAATATAAATTCAATGTAACATTTATGTCAAGTTGTGTAATAATTTTACATCATAAAATAAGCACGTGAACATTATTATTAAAAGGAAAAATTCTGCATTTTCAGTCATTCAGATGCTACATATCATTAAAAAACTTTAAAATAGTTAAATACATGGTGTCCAAGGTGCGAAGAATTATGATCACATGATTTGTTAGCAAGGGTCACATGACCCCAATGCATTCACTGCAAGCACGCGGATAATCAAAAAATATTCCTAATTGAAAACCAAGCGTTACATAACTGAGGGCATGACCAAAGAAGTCTTACCTTTATTAGCATTTTCATAGTCAACTTTGTCGTACCCGTTACTGCTAGCAGGACATTTTTTCACTTTTTCAGAAGTACTTTTTGCCGATTTATCATTCACTTCACCACCAAGAGCCATCACAACACGAGGAATAGATAAATGCGCTAGCAATTCGACCGCGACGACCACGGACCGCACTCAGCTGAAAGAGAACATGCGGTGATATTAAGGTTCAATTTAGACTGATTTCAATTTCATCACGGAGCAGCCAGAGCGGAGTACGAAGTCCTCCCGTATAACACGACCAAATGAAATAGATATTGATCTCCATTTTAGTAGTATTACGTACATTCTGTTTGTTATTTATTACTTGATTTCATATTACTTTAGATCGATTGTCTTACATTATTTTCAATTTATCTAAGGGTAAATAAAATAGCAATTCAATTAAAATTATTTTCGTAGACCCTGACAAAAAAAATTCAACCAAACCATAGACAACTAACGTAGAAGAAACAAAGAGTTTGTCAGCAACACTATCTTCTATACTCCATTTATAATAACATTAGAAAAAAGAGGGTCATAGAAGCAGTAGTTCAGAACATTTTATTTTAAAGATATTAAAAAAATATATATATTACATTTTTTAAAAACTTTGAACATTAGGTAGTCTGAAAGAGCTGGGCAATTTTCCATTTTTTACGATACCTCGGGGTTGAGATGAGGCCAGCATTTTATAAATTCATCTTTTACTCCCAAGCCAAAATGGAACTAAAATTGAAATTATCTATCTGTTTTTTTGATAAATTCTAATTGTAAGTGTAATTAGTTAGACTATTGATGAAGACATTGGAAAAACTTACTGAAATGTCAATGGTTGAGGGTAGGCATGGAGGCTTAGAGTGTAGTTTTTGTAGGCCACTCGGGCCTGCACCGGAATCGCAATTTAGCAAAACTTAACAACATAAAGATAACAACTAAAACAAAACTATAAGAAAACAACAATAAAACAGTAATTACTCAATCACCGAAAATGACAAAACAACAAGAAATGCAGTAGTATTCACAATGAATCTTCTGATTCGAATCCCAGATTACATATTTTGACTATTATGAATAAATCATAATCTGACAAAATTAAAAAGCTGTACTGCTGAAACTTTTGTAGGGATTAGGCAACATTTTAAATTTGGTAGAGTTATAGTGACATGAGAATCATGCCGAAACTATCTAACCCTGCTTCTTTGAACACATTTATTGTAATAATTATTAAATGTTTTAAGTCAGTCAAATACTCATAAATTTGTTTAATATATAGCTTACAAGACTACGGTTAAGTATAGCAGCTAGTATTTAAGTGGATATGTAGCAAATTAGCCGTTAGTCTTAAGAGTAACATGATTGTTGACATTTTGTCACAAAGTATACCATAAAAAGAACCTTATTTTCATTCTGTCTAATGCTATAATGAATAGAGTATAAGTTATTCAGAGATACTGTTGCTAGCATACGTTTTTGATAATTAAATGATGAATACACATCTCACATTCAACATTACACAAATTAGCAGGGTAGACAGCACTACTCGATCTATTAGGTTGGTACACTGTCTTTTTGACGCTGGCGTATTATTATGTTGGTACCGATTATTGTAACAAATCGATAAAAATATTTAGAAAGCACTAAAAAAGCACCTCCACTAGATGGCGACTCTAGCAAATGTTGATTTTTGCAGGAAGCGAAGCGACATCTAGTTTTATTTCGGGAACTAATTGTTTTTTTCGAATACTTCCTCATAGGCACCTAGCTCCACTACCATCAACTAGAAGTGACTTTTCTTCGGAAGAAGAAGAGCTTTAACTTTACTAAAGCAACATTTTTTGGAATTTTAATGAACGATGAAAACCGGAGTAGATACAAATACAAAGCAGTGGCGTAGCGTGCTTTGGCGGGTAATTTTTACTAACGCACGTTGGGGGCCCCCTCGCCCTGGGGCCCCATATAATTAATACGGTAGAAACGGCGGTAACTACGCCCCTGATACAAAGTAAAAAAATTAACTTCAATTTCTCTTCCATAATATTATTTGTTTACTTCGTAAGTAAATAGTTGATATATAGGTTACCACAAAGACCACGTGATCAGCGCCATTACATGAAGCAGCATTTTTTGAGTGATTTCGGCTCATCGAATCTATTTATAATCTATCATCGTAATTTTCGACTTTCACAAGTGCTATGTAAAAGCCTAAACTGAATAAACAATTTTGATTTGATTTGATTTGATCAAACAATCATTTAAAACAGTTCTCAGAAAAGAGTCGAATACCCGATTAGTGGGGTTTGGCAATGTTTCGTCATTAGACCGCGTTTTTGGGATTTTTTCATGAGAGTTTAGATACCTTACAATAGAGTAAACATACACACAAGTCTTTGACTCCTCTCGGAGATTGATCGACTAGTACCGATATAAATATTTATAATCGATACTAAAATACTTAAAATCAAAAGTATTGAATAAGTACTTGTATTATTCGTATCGTATAAGTTGGTCTGAGATTTTGCTGCGAGCAACTGTCATTGTTGTATTGTTTGTTTCTTATGTTAGGTTTCTTATTTTCTCTTTTGAATAATATTATCCTCGTGTTTTGCATAAATTGTGTATGATTAAAAGTCATACTGGCGTCGGAAAATTACCCAAAGGTACGATATTTAATAATTCTGATACATCTTAAATGTCTAATTTTGTATCTTAAATTTTCTTCGCACAGATACTCATATTCTTAAAAAGAATAGCGGATTTCCTTTTTATATTTACATCAAATAGTTGATAATTCATGTGTTAAATGTCAATCCATACAGAAAATGCTAGACGGGTGGTACTGCCGCTCTATAGCAAATATGCAAGCGAGCGAAGCCGCTAGTGTTAGCAGCAGTGCACCCGCAGAATCGAGCCACGCTCGCGACTCGCGTACATATTCCAGTGATAGCAGTAGTGAACCGGATTCGGAACCCAACTATCGTATTCAATATCTAACACTAAAGAAGAAACTCAAGTACCTTATTTATGTAAGTTAAAAGTAATTCAGCAATATTATTGACTGCAACATCAATTTTATGTTATATAATGTTAAAAAAATTTAACGGTCAAGAGTAGATAACTCTTAATTGTTATTTTTTTATGTTGTTTTTGTTCTTTAATTATTTCTTTACATTTAATAAAAGTTATTATCTGTAGACAATAGTCAATTAATATTTAATATCAGTCATCATATAATTTCAGGAAAATGAATGCTTCCAAGATGCTCTTAGATCTAGTCAGAAAAGATTATTAAAAGTGTCCAGAGATCGTAGTTTCCTGTTAGATAGATTATTACAATATGAAAAACCTGACAGTTCTACCTCAGAAAGTGAAGATACAGAATCATCAGATGACACTGATAATAATCGAGTGGATGCAATAAAAAGGTAAAAATAATCACATAAAAAAAGAATCAATCAGTAAAATTTACTGCTGACAATATTTTGTTCAAAAAGCACAATGTTTTTGTAAGAATATTCTTAAAAGAAGACAACCATAACTATTTTTTTTTTAAACTCTAAGCACACCACTGTGACACCTGTCACAGGAATTCTTCAAAGAGGTAGTCTACAAATGAATTTGAATATATGGTAAATAATAATCATAATATTTATTTTTCACACAGCCCAAATACAAGAAAGTAAATTAAAAATAAATACTTAAAATTAAATGTTATAAAACAATGGTTAATGAATTTTATAAATAGTTTAGCGTCTGTAGCAGTGCTAGTTTATTACTGTACTTTGGCTTATAGTGCCCTCTCAGCATTGCCTATATCACTGTGGCTACATTTTGCTATGAACACTATGAATATTTTGTTTATGTTCTAATACATTTTTATTGAACAATATCTACTGTTATCTTTAACAGTAAATTGAATTACTAAAAAAATAATAATATAGTATGGTTGCTGTAGAAACAGAATTTCATATGGGTCAATGTATGATGGCATTACATAACTCTGTATTGTGCACAAATATATTGCTATCGCACAAATGCATCTAGCCAATTTTGTTATAGTTTCCTGTGTTTGATGTCCACGCTATACAAACATTACTGAAAAACATTTTTTTTACATATTTTAAGAAAAAATAAACAATAATTAGTGAGATAAGCTACAAAATTTTATCTGAAAAAATATAGTTCCTCTCTAAGATCTGTAAAATGCAAATGAAAAATTAAGATTATATTTTGAGGAGGGATAACTTTTTCTCACAAAAAGAGGACTTTTATTTAACTTTATAAAAAATCAATTGTTTGTGTAATACACTGAAAACTAATCTAAACATATTTTTTTAGAAAAAAGTTGGATGCTAATGCATCTCATCAAAACACTGCCCCTGCTTTAAGTAAAGGAGCTAACACTGTAAAAAGGAAAAGAGTTTTCATTCCTAAAAAAACAAACGCCAATCACACAGTGAGTACATTTTTTTTATTATTTGGATAATGCAAATGCATTGGAGAATTTGTGTAGTTTGATATGACACTGTCATCCAACTAGCCAGTGGTTCTTAACTGACCACCGCCAGATACAGAGCCTCAAAATCATTAAAAATTATCAATAAATATTATGAATATTTTATTTTATTTATACCTAGCTACACAAAACATGCAATAATTTATACTAATATTACAAAGTGATACATTCGCCAGTTTTCAAGGTAAATAGCCGAAAATTAGTATACAGACTATTTTGTTACAAACAAAAAATACTTGTATCAAGATTTTTTAGAAATGTTCCCCCAACCCCCTTCAAAATGGGAAGGGATATTTGTATGGGACATTCTGCAATTTTTAAGGAAAGCTGACTATTGGTAGAAGGTTCTTTTTTACAGGCAAATAATACAATAATATAAATAAAACAATATTATTACATTTAATCTAATCAACTTTTGAAAAAAAATCAACATCAAAGGATGAGAAGAATTGTTACCCGCGGCCTCCGATAGATGGCATTACTAGGATTTTAAAAATATTTGTTGTTGCGTTTTTAGTAAATAAATATGGTAATATTCTATATTACGAAAAGTAACTATATTACGCGGACGAAATCGCGGGCAAAAGCTAGTAAGTACGTAGATTATAATATAATCAAGAATAACCTGTCAGAATCTGGCGTCGCACGTCAGCCATGTTTGATTTTCCTTAACGTCATCAGTCAAAGAACACGTGGACTGCTAAAACAAAATTAACGATATTTCAATTATATATATATCCGCTTAACAGTTCAGGAGATATGAGATAATAAAGAATATAACATACATATAAAATAAACATAATGATATGAATAAAATATATGTATGCAAAAAACATAACCCTTCCTTTGCAGTCGATAAAAAAATAAAGGTTGACTGATTAAAATAATATTTTCTTTATATTTCCTTCAAACATGATCCTCGTAAGGAAGTTTCGATTTCGGCCGAAATTCGGTTTCGGTCGTAAAAACCAGTTTCGGTCGGACACTACTTACCATCATTAGAGACCATTTGACAAATTTCTTTTTAGTCACGGACTACCCACATGATCTATTGTGCAGTACCAAAATCTAAGTAAATAAAGAGTTATTATATGGGTATCTATGTATCTATATTAAAATGCATGTTCTACAGACTAGTGGTTAAGAACTGCTGCTCTAATGGATATATGCCTCTTAACTGCAGGGCAACTTGCTGTGATTCTTATTAAATGATATTCCACATTTTTAATATAATTATTGTTTTAGATTGAAATTTTTATTTCCAATTGGTTTTGACATCATATAAATTTTATAATTGATAATATTAATTTCAAATAGTATGTAGAAAATTTTTATTTTATATGTATTATTTATTGAATTATTGTAAATAGTAAATATCATTAAAAAATGTACTTTGCTACCTTGCTGGCGCTTTGGTACATACTGTAAACCACGATGAATATATAAATAAATTAGGGTTCCCATTTTTTTGTTCTATTATACACAATATGTAATGGTAATAAAAACTATTGTTTATCTTTAAGCAGCAAGCTACTAATGCTATTATGACGAAAGCATCACCCGCCCTTGGTTTTGGACTTTCACCTGGGGATGGCCACATGACCCCTGAAGAGGTGGAGCGTCATTTGCAATCCCGACAGTCTTATTTGGAATTGCTACCCGAGAGAGCACCACCTACGGTGCCGACGGAAATGTTCAGCAATGACCCATCTCTTGATAGGTAATAATTTATCTTTAAATACTGTATATAAAAATGTATTGAAAAGTATTAATTTTTCTCAATAATCTTTTTTAAAATATAAAATATAGGTGCTCAAATTATGTCATGTAATTTGTCATGCAATTTTCTAATCACATACTAATATGTTAGGTCGCTGCACTGTTTTAATAAATAAAAATAGATGAAAAGAAATCCTATTTGATGACCTCCTTAGCTGAGTAACTCGCATTTTAATTCCAAAGTGTCGTTGACTCTTAGGTCCCGGATCGAATTACCAGTCATGCCAATGTAGAACATTAACTTTTCTTTATTTTCTATATTGTCTCGGGTCTGTTGTGTTATCTTCGTTATTTCAGTTTTCTATAATACGAGTGTTTTAGCTACTTAATTTGTTATCAGCTCTGCGATTCTGTAAAACTTCAAACACGAATTCACTTCACTTCAAAAAGCGGCATCCGCTCAAACTTGAATCGGTAATAATGTTTCGTGGCATAAGTGAAGTGAGTTTCGAAATGATATAGGATCAAAATATCTAAGACACGTTTAATCAATCAATTTTATTCGGTATTTTTATACAAAAAATGGAATCAATAGGATTTCTATACTAAATGACGGACACATGAGTGAATTCGAATTTGGGTCTGATTTTTTACGAATCGCAGGGCTGATCTGATTAATGTATGTGATGTGATATTTATTTATGGATTTATAATATGTGGTGCGACTGCCTAAATCTCTAGCCATAAGATAGGATATCTTATATAGCGTATATTTTGGCGATATTTGCACTGATGTCAAATCAAATTTCCTATGATATGCATTCCAATTCTCTTTGTCATGTAATAAAATAAATAAATGGTGTTTTTTAAATAAATTAGTCTATTTTGAGCTTTTCGTTTTTTAATATGTTATTTCTGGAATTTAATAATAAAAGTTTACTGAATTTTTTAAATTATTCTAATAAAGAATAATAATAAGAAATATCTGATCTATTTTGATATTTCTGATCAAGAATGATAAAATGGTCATCTTTTTTAATTAGTAGCTCACAGATTTATTCATGTACATTTATGAATAAATCCGCTATGGATTTACATGACATTAATATGTGACATGTATTTTATATTTTGTTTCAGTGAATCCAACGATGTATTGGAAAATTCACCAAATGTAGAAGAATGGTTTGATTAATTGTATTTTTAAAGTAAAATATTTATAATAGTCGGTAAGTTAAAGATATTTTAATACAATTTGGGTCTGACCAATTAAATTTTTATCATAATATCATTGATTTTTATTATTCATTTAACGGCCAGTAAAATGTTCAATGTGACCCTATTATAATGAAATAAATAGCATGATAAAATACTAAATCATTAAAGGAGTGGACATAACATTCACCTGACTCATTTGACTGTGTGAAATGATGAGTATGGTCAAGCTTTATAGATAAAATTGCACCAGTACCTATCATAACTAGGTAATATTTAATTGGACAACAGAATTTTGCCTACGCTGCTTAAAAAACATTCCATCAGTGGTTTGATTGGTTTCGAAGTCTGTATTGAGAGTTCCTTTTCCTCGTAGTGCGATGTTATTGGCGGTGTGCTGCAGCACAGTGGTTTTTATCTCCCTTTTTTATACAGTATGCGGTAATGCTATTTCATGTCAATAAGATTCTTCTTGCCATTTCTATGCAGACGATTTGCAAATTTATTCTCACGCTACTGTTGAAAATATTAGGTCAGCCATCTTGTCATCAACATGAATGTTATGATCATCACAGATACCAGATCATTTATAGTATATTATAACTTAAGGGAAAATGTATATATTCATATAGATTCATCCCTGCGGTACTCCATAGGTACATACTGCGCATCAGAGTGATAGCGCAGTAAGTTCCTATGGAGTACCGCAGGGAAGTACTCTTGGTCCTACACTTTTCCTCGTATACATTAATGACCTGTGTGTACTTCTCGACGTGGTCTTGATTTGTTGATGTTCGCTGATGACACTGTGTTAATTCTACATGACAAAACCTGGCCTAAAGTTGCGAAACTAGCTGAGGATAGTTTAGCAGACGTAACAAAATGGTTAGACCGGAGTCTCGTTACAATAAACACAAATAAAACAAAATATATGTGCTATAGTAAAACAGCTGCTGGTGATCCGGGCCACGAAATTAATGTTTTAATACATACCTACCCCTGCAACTGGAACAGATCAAGTGTATGCAGCTGCTCTGCACTGTCACGTGTAAGAGTCTTTAAGTACCTAGGTGTTACAATAGATGACCATTTGACCTGGGAGCACCATATCTCATCACTTGCATTGAGAATCAGAAAGCTCATATATGTGTTTAGGAATCTTCGCCATGTTGCTGACTACACACTGGTCATACAAACTTATAAAGCCTTGTGTGAGTGTCTAATTAGGTACTGCATATGCGCGTGGGGAAGAGCAGCAAAGACACATCTAATTATTGCTGAACGTGCACAGCGTGCAATCGTTAAAGTAATGCTCTTCCTTCTGTTTAGGCATCCCACAATGCAGGTGTATGAGTTGTCCGGTGTACTTAGTATCAGAAAACTATTTATTTTCGAAGCAGTCCGACGCTACCATAGAAAGGTTGTTCCCCTCCTGCCTGTTTCGAATAAGAGAATAGAATAAATCACATCTATAAATGTAAAGACAAAAGCAACAGAGAAATTATAAGTATACTAATAGAATGGTTAAAGGAATTTAATTACGATGATTTGGAGACGATGTTGGATACATGTTGAAATTATGAGTTTCCGGCTCAAATTAACTATAATATGAATTTGTTAATGGTTCGTTAGCTTTACTGTGTTTCTATTTCCTACAATGTATTTCTTATAATTTTTGTTTTCATGGATTTAGTTTCGTTTGTGAAATTACTAAGCATAACTTAAAATAGTTTTATATTTACATTTGCAGTTTTAATATTTGTAGTAGTACTCATATATTTGTTATTATTATTATTATTTTTTTTTTGTATCCCTTTTTTTGTACTTTTTTTTTCTTATCTTCGGGCATAAGATTTGTGAATATAGGTTGGAGAAGACAAAGGCTCCTGAAACACAGTTTTTAGCTAGCTCGGGAGCCCTTGGATTCATTAAGTATTGTATTATTTGAAATTATGTCAATAAATACATTTTTTACTTACTTTTACTTTACTTAAATATATTCATCGTATATATCAGAAAGGATCGCATTGAAAGATGCAAAAGAAAAGAAAATAACACGAAATGTAAATGAGCGTCTACTCTGTAGTTGGTTAGGTAGGAGTATCGCGGGGTGTGTGTTTAATTGTGTTACAATTAAGACTCTCTTAATTGGAAGAACAAAAAAGTATCCCGAGGACTGCGGAAGCCTTTAAAAGGAATACAGCGGCTATAAAATATATGAATTTTCAAATGCTCATTAATGGTAATCTTATTTCTACAATAATAAGCTGAGAGAATTCTGGCGATACTACAATTGCAGGTTTTTATTGAAATAATAAGTTACTTCTGTTTTCTGTTACTTTTTATTACGAGTATTTAGCTTTAAGGCAATGAGTGCCCCACTTTGTCCGACCCTGGGTACGCCCATGTATACGAGCAACCATAATAGTAACTAAAATAAGCATCACCTACCTACCCGCACTTCTCAAACTACTGTTATTACTATTTTCAGTTTATTCAACTGAAAATAGTAATAACAGTTGTAATACACCTGTAAATGAAAATGTATAATTATAACGCCGTTTATAGCAGTTGCTTACGAAACTTTTTTTGCTTCAACGTAGAAAGCTACAATATACCTACATAAACCAATAAGGTGAATCGTGGCTGTGCTTGTGTATTACAATACAATACAATCATTATTTATTGTACACACCATTGTTCAGAAAATTATGTCGGAGTATATAAGGGAGTACAAGGGCGGCCTTATTGCTTAAAGCAATTTCTTCCAGACAACCTTTACCTTTTGTCTTCTTTTTCTGTACTGCGTTTATACCCATGTTTACAAGCTCAACTTAATAATATGATTTAAAACAGTACTAACAAGGACGCCGGTATTTCGTCGAGTTAATACCTAATAGAGAAGGACAGCATATGCAAAACATTGTGTCGGTGTACTAACGGCGTAAGATAAAAATTATTACTATATTTACATACTCATGCTTTCCTAAACCCCGACATTCAGAATCTTAGATATTGGTACAGATACCCCTAGATGTACGAATAAGCTAAAGAAAACTATCGATAGACGGAGCAATTAGGGCGCTTGTGCACTACACTGAATTTTCAGGTCCGGCGGTCCGATTTTTACCGGTATGATATGTCAGGCCATATATAGGTAATGCTAGCCTGTGCACTATCAGGAATTTTACCGGTCGGGATTTTACTTTTCTCTATTCCGGACCGGTTTTTTTAGGTCCGTGATGGCGGCAATGAAAAACGTTTTATGCTTGTGCATTGCTGTGTCCGCGATCCGGAAAATTCATAATAAATAGTATAGATAAATATTTGATAACAGAAGTAATAATAAAGAATTAACAGAAGACAATAAAAATTGACTGTTTGTGTCATAAATAAATTTAAAAAAAAGAAGTATGTATTCTAAGGGAAAAATATTTCTGCTCAAAGAAACCTATATACAATGCCTATATATAATACAGTCAACTGATCTTGTAAAGTTCAATTATCATATTAATTCTCCGCTTACACGGCACTAATTTCGATTTGTTTACGAAATGGCGCCACCGATTGATCTATCTCTAATCGCTTAAATTTGTTTTTACAAAACTTCGAAAAAATTGCACGTTTATAAATTTAAACATCAAGTACAAGACCATTATCAGTAATTTTATTCTAAAGTCACAGATATTTTTAGCTATTGTATGTGAATTATGCTGTTCGTAAATTAGTAAGTAATTAGATGGTAGTAAAAAAAATGTTTTCGTCTTGCCTCAAATTATTATGCTTTATGTAAAATGATCAGGTTATTATTTAGGTACCTTTCTACGTTTTCGAACGCAATTACCAACGTTCCAAAAATCTCATCGTACCTAGCGTAAGTGACGTGTAGCTTCAAAGAGAGCTGCCCTACACTGCGCCGCCCCGATCAGGAAAAAACTGATAAGTGCACAAGCTACTCATCCGGGTCTTACATGACATTCCGGACCGGAAAAAATTGGATCGCCGGACTTGAAAATCAGTGTAGTGTACAAGCGCCCATAAAATCTATTAGCCGGAAACGGAAACGCAAAAAGGAAACGTTAGGCTTGCGAGCTCGAACAAAAATGTTTGAAAATTTTCCGATACTTAGTTGATTTTTAGTATGTTGAAGTACTGAGGGTATATAATCAGTGAGTACTTAGTGCGGAGGTCAAATGATGGAATACCGCAGAGCGACCGCTTAACATAATAGCCTGGATTCTAGCCATAGGATACATCTTAGCATTGTAATGCCAATAGTTCTATTTCGTTTCATTTTACTACTTTGACATGTACCTTAGTAACGACGAATGAAGAATAAAGAATGATGAATAAGGTGGACTAACCTCGTCGGGGCAATACAATCCCAATTTATGATTTAATCAAGGGAACTTGCAGTTATTTGGGGGTCCCCCCAGGACAAGAGGCCAGGGGCAGACCCCACTCCCCCTTAGTCCGCCACTGCGTTTCATTTAACCCAAATTTATCCACCAAACGACATGTCATAGTAACATGAAACTAAATATCGCCATAGCGTAGCTATGTCGTATCCTATTGCTAGAATCAAGGCTAAATAACACTGATTACTTATATTTTCAGGCACACTATCTATAAATGAAATTAAACTAAACTTTTAAACGGTTTCATTTAAGGTTAGTAAAATCAAACCTACTTTAAAAGGTAATAAAAAATAATAGGATTTATTCGGTCGATCGTCTAATGCTGCGTCAGCGGTGTCCGACGCTGTATTTTTACAGAATATCGAGCATGTAACTAAAAGCCGCTACAATTAAATCTATTGCTCCAATGAACTTTGAACTTAATTTTCATAAATGAAGGCTTAAAAATCAGTTGGAAAAATTTGTGGTCTTTTGCAGCAATCTGATGTTACCAAGTATACAATTAATATAGAGAAATGAAAGACCAATTTAACTATTTATGGATAAATATTTATTATAGAGTTACAATATTGTTTCGAAGCGCAAGAACGAACAAACATCTATCTCTATCACTGAATCGCACTCATTATTCTCATGCAATATATTGTACATTATTATAATCACACATTACATGAAAGTGTACACAACATGTAAGCAGCTCCTTTAAAGTCCATAATATACATAATTAATACGATGATACCTCATTCTTGACATGTAAAATACAATATACCTGAAGAGTATAGAAATGACAATATATTAATTTTTCGTATCCTTATTTGATAATGAAAACCTATCATGCATAGAGAATTGCATGATAATTTCATAACAACATTTCATAATACTAATTTGTCTAATTCTACAGCCATAACATCTTCATACAATATGAAAATAAAACTATTAAAATGTGAGATTCCTCAAACGTATAGGCATTATTTTTAAGTTTTCATTATATGCAAAATAATATAACAAACACGAGTAACAAACAAATTAACTGGATTTAAAGGAACACAGGTATATAATTGTAGATGTCTATACAGAATATTGATGAGATCTACAATATTGAGACTTAAGTAAGTATTTTATCATAATTTTGAAACTTAAGTTTACATAGGAATGTTTATGAAGTGAAATATAATAAGTTTATTGATTTCTTGTGAGAGTATTTCCCAAAATAAAATGGAATTATGTATTATTATTTATATGTAAGCCGTTAGCCCTTAATCAATAAATTTTGCTTATTGGTAAGGTACACTATAAAACTTTCGTTTTGTAATGAATTAATACTATCATCAAAAAACTAGAAAGAACATAGTGCTAGCTACCATCATAAATCTATTGTATCTTTACGAGAGGAACGTCTGTTAATTTATTTATCCCGTACTTCTTCTGCACAGTATAATTAATAGTTGTACATCCTACATAAGCAATTTTGAATTACTTATACAAATTTTGATACACAATAACCTCTAATCAAAATATTACTTTGGTATGACCATATAAGCTAACTTTAAGTTTTAATATAAAAACAATAGTAAAAATGTTCTATAGAAACACTCTGTCTTATATAATAAAAATTGTTCAGTTTATGAAATTTCTTTAAGGGTTAGTTACATTGATGTTGTAATGTTGCATGTAATAAACCTAACTTTTCTTTTTTATCGAAGTTGCTTACTTATTTATAAGTCAATAATGTGTTATGAATGCCCACAGCTTTATTTATGGGCATACCAATTCTTTTACTGAAAACGGGAGTCTGTTATACTGTATTGTAATAACAACAATGAATAGGAATCAACGAAATATTCATGTTCAATACGCCCATAAATATGACACTGATCAATATTCACTACAAAACAGCTTATCATAATTATGTTGATAGAAGTTCTAAGCATTTAAAAAAATATCAAACATAAAAAGACATACATTCATTTAAAAAAATAAGTCAATTCAAAATGAATTGAGTATTATAGATAGTAATCATAAAAATTTAAATATATTTTAATAAACAGTACTTGATATGAGGTTTCCCATACATTATAAAAACCGTCATGTACTGATATTCGTATCTCACATTAATAAATTAGGTAAATAATATACATAGTTGGAAAACATTGTTATACCAACAAACATGAGTAAAAAAACTAAATTAAAATAAAATTTGTTTAAAATAAAAATCTATTCCTAATGTAGGCATCATAACAATATAAATTCATAATTGTACAAAGAGATTTCACACATACTCTCTCAGTGCTCAATCCACACTAATGTATATTGCAAAATACTTAGTACACCATTAGCAACTATTGAGTGGATAGCTAAGTAATAACCGTTTTCTGTCTCATATTGTTGTTCATAATCCATGGTCCAATTAGTGATAAATGGGATTTAAAACTGATCAGCTAGCAAGTTGCAAATTTCTTGTGAAACTGTTTCTTTGCTAGATCTTACAGTCAGTCTAAACATTTGAGCCTGTTTGTTTGGTTCCAATCTCATGAGGCATCCAACTTGTTGAACTCTAGTATGAACAATTCCAGCACAAACAAAATTCTCAGGATTAGGGTCAATACCATCTAACAGTTGCATACCAAAACCAGCAAGTTTTGTGCGTGTTCCAGCCAAATCAATGGCACCTTGCGCTTTAAATATCTTCTGAGCTCTTTGCTGTTCTCCTCCTAAATTTTTCCATCGTGCAAAAAAGGATTCTCCATTCATCTCAGTAGGTTCAAAGAATTTGTTTAATGTAAGTGGCAGTTTTAAAGTAATCTTTTGAGGAACATTGTTGTAATTGAATGTGATTGTCATGCTAGGGGCATCAGCAAAATCTTCAATACATTCAGCTGTCAACATTTGCTGTATTTGAGCACCTGCTTCAATAACTGGTTCCATAGGTTTTACCTGGACGTTTAGTTTGTGCATATCAGTCCACTGTAGCTCTGGATGTATGTTCAAAACTGGGTATGCAGCTTTGTTTCCATAAAACAATCCAATCCTGCCAAGGTTTTGCCTGAATTCACTTTTTACACCTATTTGAATGATATCGTTTTCGAACAAGACTCCATTATTTTTAAACAAAAATTTCTTGATATTGTTTTGTTGAACAGTATTTGGGCTTACTTTAGGAGTGGTGTATAAATCACCTAGAACATCTAGAAGTCCATTACCAGCAGAAGGTGCAGTAGTGCCCGGAGGAGTAGATAAACCAAGCAAATCTGCACTGGAATTATTTGTATTATTTGCAGAGTTAATAACTGCAGCAGAAGCAGCATTTGGTTGTGGACTTTTTGACTCTCTAACATCGTCAGGAATGCGCCCTGGCTTCTTCTTCTTTAACACAGCTAGAATAGATGATTCTCTTTCTGGAAAAGCTGGCATTTCCTCAAGAACTGTAGCAAGTACATCAGAACTAGCCACAATACTGAGTTGCAGATATTCTGATGCTCTTTGTTGTAACTCGACATCAGCTGAACGAAGATTAGAATCAGCACGAAAAACTTCTTGGACACGAGCTTTTATTTCTGGGAAAAGATTAACAAGCTTTATGTATGTTGATAAAAGCAGGGCTCTGGTTGCTGCTGAACACAAATGATATTTAGAATGAAGTAGTTCAAATTGAACTTGTGGGGAAGATCTTGTATCTCCAGCTATCAAATTACCAAATTCACCAAGAATATATCCACCAACTTTGACCATATTTTCATGACATGTAGGAGCTTGCAAAGCCTCAAAGACTGTTTTTGCAGCATATCCTTGGACTTCTTCTCTATTTATTACAATTTGGATGACTCTGTACCATACTTCTTCTGAAACATAGTCACCGGCAATTCTAATCAAGTTAAGGATAACATCAACATACCAAGTGAAATCTGTTGCATACTTTTCAGCTAAAATTGCAACTTTCAATACCATTTCTTCCCTTATAGAATAATCTGCAGTTTCTAAGTAAGCAAGCATTTCTTGTACAATTTCTTCTGCATTTGACTTGTCACACATTGCATATAGCAGGTCTACAGCCTGCTGACGGACTGAAACATCTTTTTCCATTTTCATAGATAAGATAACAACTTCCTGGTGTTTCTTTACTGCTTCATGTGAAAACTCTGATGTTGCAAGATGACACATAGATTCAAGAGCTAAATATCTTAGATTAGTTTCGCGGTTACTTAGAAATTGACCCAACTGATTACATGCTCGAACTAGCAAATTGGGTTCACTGTCATTATGAATGATAAGACTTATTGCTTCAAAAAGAACAGCATTTTTGGCATTAGAATGTTGCACTTTCTTTGATTTGGGAGGCTCTTGAGCTTTATTAAATATAGTTTCTAGGCATTCAGACAGCCGACCTCTTACACCAGGTTCTTCTGAGGGAGGTGTATAATTTTGAAGTAAGCGCAATAACTTTACTGACAACCATGGAGCTGGTACAAAGTAATATGTGTAGTCTTGCAAATCGGTGTAGCTAGCTGTAACAATTCTGCTTAATCTAGCAACAGCCAGAGTAACACATCCCTTGTACTCTTCTGGGTTTTTCTTAACAAGAGCATCTATTAAAGATGTGGCAGCTGTAACTACACCCATATGTGGGTCATTCAAAAGATGTATTATGCGTGAAGTCCATTCTCCTCCAGGAATTATTTCAGGTGATTTTCTGAAAAGTCTTAAAAGACAAAGTGCTGCTGATTGTTTAACAACATCCATAGTATCACCAGAGACCAAAAGTTTTGGGATTTCAGTCCCAAAAGCTTCAGCCATGTCTTTACTGCCAATGTTAGCAATGCACTGCAAAGCTAGATTTACATGAATGGGGTTACGAGATTGTAAATCATTTTTAATGCTTTGGATAATGAGCTTGATCAAATCACTGTTGGTATTGACCAAGACAGATATAAAAAGGTATCCGATCTGTTTCTCGGAGTACTTATTTGACGAAAGTAGATTAACAGCTTCCATATGCCCAAAGTCAATATCGTGGCCTAACAGAAATATAAATAGAAGCTTACAGACATACTTTTTCTTCTGATAGCCATCAAGAGTTTTGTCTCCTTTGAACTTACTGCGTATATTCGCCAGCTCTTTGTTAATTCTCTTGATTTCCGCTTCTTTACTTTTACAGTTTCTTATATCTGATATAAAGACTGCGAGTCCTCGCATTCCATCGCCCCTGACGGCAGGCATATTGCCAAGTGACTTATCGAACACCAGTTTTATGCCGTTCCTTGACCTTCTCAGAAAGAAAATGTTATTAGGTACTGATTATCAATATCAAGCAATAAATATAAAAGACGAACTATGAAATCAATCAGCTGCCGTCATCTATTTCGAACCACAAAAGGAAGACGAAATAGTTTGACTTTCTTCTACAACGCCTTCCATAACCATAGATAGATTTGTTGTTCTTTTCTATTTAGGCTATGGTTATAAAACCTAACAGCCTCGTAAACACAGAAACACATTTCACAATAGAATTGAGCCGATCCTTTGGATCGGTTTAAAGAATAATATGGTGGGAATTTAAAACATTCAGAATTGTTTACAAGTACATGTGTACATTGTGTCATTTTCAGAGATGTGACTTATCTTAGATACAAGTATTTGAAATACAGATACAAGATACAAAATACGTATTTTCATCTTGTATCTAAAATACTTTTTTTAGGAAGTATTTTGTATCTTGTATTTAAATACTTTTGTTTAGTATCTTAGTATCTTTTAAATACTTTTTCTGATAAAATACTTTATAAAAAGATTATTTCTTACATTTTATAAATATCACAAAACATTCTTTGCCTAAAACATACATATTTACAAAAAGAAAGTGTTCAATTATCAACGCAATGAATATTTAGTTAAAAATAACTCGAATCCAAACATTGTTTGGTGTCATTTAAAAAGTAAATGCGTAGAACTGAACGTACGCTTATACCGGTGTAATCACCCTCCCTAGTAAAAATTGATAGATGGCGCATAGGGCTTGAAATCGAATAACCAGTTACAAGCAATAAAAAATCTTGATTTATGTAAAAACCCGGTTATATGCTACAAATAAAACTCAGTACCTATATCAATTAAACTCATTATTAAATTTTATAATTTTTTTGCACATTATACTTTTTCCACTAACAACAGCATTCAAAAAGTTTATTTTTAAAGAAATTTCACTGTGAAATTCAATACATGGCAAATGCTTGAAATTATATCCCGTGAGCAAAGCAATATTGCCTTTATTGACTCAACAGTTAATCTTTTTCTATCTTTTGACCACTGCATATTCATGAGCGAAAAAAAAAAATCAATATTCGCATTATGAGGCATAATACAAAAAAAATACTGACAAATCTTCAGTAGTTCGGAAACGAGTGCTGTCATTGCATATATTGAAAATAATTACCCACTGCTTTTCAACTAATCGTCATAAAAATTTTGTTAATAGAAAAAAATCTTTAAATAATTTCTTTGACATCGTCAATTAATACTCCTTTATTTTTCAAAAATACAACACAATCTGTGATGTAATCGTATGGTAGATTTTGCTTTAATAAGTAACCATTTAATTCAAGGGATCTTTATTGAGAAACAACAAAAAAATGGGCGGAGTCCTGTCTTAATATTAGGTCTTTACCTATGTAACTGCCGTTCTACTGTACTAGCCATTTAAAATCAAACTATTTTTTTTTGCTGATAATTCTAATATCAAATTATTTTTTCTTAAATCGTCATTTGTTCAATAGTAAGTGTTTTGTTTTCAATGAATTTGAATATTTTTCGTCGTCATGGATAAGTTAAAAATTCGAGTAATTATGGAGTATATGTGCCATCGTGGCAGCAAAGCGGCACGCAACATTACAACGTTTGCAGAGCGAATACTACAAACGAACGCACCACCACTTGTTATTGGTTTGCCCGTTATTGGTTTACGAAAAGGTTGCTGTTTGGTGGTCTAACGCGGATGTATTTCATCACAGCTTCTTAACAAACAGGACGACGATTACTGCAGATTTACTGTGTGTATTGTGAAGAACTGAACACAATGACGGAGAAGCTGGCACAACTCCAACCAGGTTTTGTCAATCGTTCGGTTCCACTGCTCCTGCACGACCACGTACGACCTCATACTATACAATTGGCGGTACCCAAGATACAAGAGCTGGGGTTTGAAGTTCTCCGTCATCCGCCGTACTTAACAGACCATGCGCCTACAGACTTCTTATTCTTCCAGAATTTGGATAACGTCTTAGCGGGAAAAAAATAAATTCCCGAGAGGCAGTACAAAATGCCTTTGAAGTATTTGTTGTCTCCCGTCCAGCTGATTTCTTCAAGAAGGCATCATTAAACTACCAAAGCGTTGGCAAAGATGATTGCATGGGTGATTACTTTGATTAATAGAAATAAGAAAATAAAGCTTCATTTATTTTATTAAAAACGGAAATATCATAGATAAAAACTTAATTAATACTTCAAATCCGGTTGAGACCGGATTTATCCGATCAGATGGTAACTAATGGCGCATTACCAACAGTACCAGCAATACCAACTCTACGTCTTTTTAGGTACATCTACGTATTATAAGCCTTTCCTACAAACCAATGTACTATAATCAACCACAGAAGCTAAGTATTTTCTACTAAAAATTTTCAAATTAGCTTAACACACTAAAGGGGCATAATTTTCGGTAATTCTGCAAAAAAGTTAATATACGTTCCGTTAAATACTATCGCACATTCACCTCGTCACAAGTCACGCCATTAATTTTAAAAACCAAGTACTGTATTTATTTTTACCCATTCTCTTCATATCACTAGGAAAAAATGAATTTTCAGTTCTCCGTACTTTTACGTCGTACGTAAAACCAGCTTTTTAAATAAATAATAATTTTATAATTAATTTAAATAATTATTGTTGTTGTTATATTTCAGCAATTTTTCATTCACCATGCTATATTGAAAAAAAAAAATTATTAAAAAGGAACTAAAAAATTTAAATAATTTAAATAATAAAAAAGTGGGTGAAATTTAGCTTGTAAGATTTGAGTACAAACACAGAAAACTAAATAAAAGCTTACAAAAATTGTTTCTAATGAAAAATGCTTAAAAAATCCACTTACCATCTGGTCTAAGATTTAGGTTTTTGCGGTCTTTAATAAACAAACTGAAATTCAAATCTTTTTTTAGAAAAGTATTTGTATTTATTAAAAGTATCTATAAGATTCCTATTTTGTATCTAGTATTTCAAATACTTTTCTCGAAAGTATTTTGTATCTGGTATCTGAAATACTTAATTTAAAAGTATTTTGTATCTTGTATTCCAGATACTTTGTACAGGGTATTTTGTACATCTCTGGTCATTTTTCAGTAAACATAATTTTATTCTATGAGTAAATAGCAAAAACAAGAATCTAAAAGTATATAACTTCAGTTAAATAAAAATAGAGAAAGCTTTTTTATGCAAGAGCTATTTCATTCAAAACATGAAATAACTTTATCTAAACCGCTCGAGCAGATCGACTTGAGCCCGAGCAATATCTGCCGAGTAACGAGTATAGTCTCGACAAGTCTCAGTGACGCGCCTCTAGTGGACGCCAAACTTTACATCATCTACTGCCAAAACGTCTATCATAAAAGTGCCTAAACAGGTTAAAAGCACAAATTAAGAGATACCGGGTACTTAATACATTAGATGAGAATATAATACAGTCGATTTGCCATCAGATTCTGGTTCAGCATCAATCATCATAAATATTAAGAAGTATAGGTAAATTTTCTTGGTAAATATCTTGGAATAATAAATATAAATTACCCGAAAAGCGGGTAAATAACAAATTTTCACATCGGCGAGTACTTTTATTACTATTTGATTGTATTTTTTTAATGAATACTTGTTCCTCAATTAGGAAGTATTTAAAAAAAAATAGTTCCTGAAATCAAACTAGATATCGCTACGGTACTTTCTTAATTTGTCCATGACAACCCTACCAGTTTTCTTTCGTGTATAAAAGTAAATTAATTTTCAATATTCAATAAACAACTCATATACCATTTCTTACTTTTTCTGAATGATATATAAGTTATGAACTTTGCAAATTTAAGTTTTTTAATGTGTTAGTTATAAGATTATCTTTGATCTATTCGTTTCGTGCAAAAATGTACTTTTGCTAGAGTTGCCATCTAGAGAGGTGCTTTTTAGTGGTTCCTTTTTTTTAAATACTTCCCCATTACCGTGAAAAAATAACAATTTCATTGTGTAAAAATCTCTTATGCGTAGAGTTGCTTGCCCACAGAGCTCTATGAAAAAATTGTATCGATTTCTATTTTCCTCAGAATTACAGAATAAGGGGGTAGGTAACCTTGGTCGGGGCATCGAATAGTGTTATCCATATTCGTTGTTAACCAAGCGTTCCGTTGGCCCAGAATTATTTCCAACCATTAGTATTGTTATACCGAAAGGACTAAAAAAAACAAAAAATATTTTACATGTATTTATAAAATTTGCAATCTATAGAGATGAAAAGTAGTGTAATTTTGTCTATTTAATGAAATTTAGACGTACAAAAAGAAGACATTTTTGAAAGTTTTACTTCGAAAAATTTTTCGCCATTAAGAATTTCATTTATTTATTTTTATTAATTATGAAAAATGAGTAAGCCTAGTCATTATAACTTATAGAGGACTATTTTTATACTTAATCTGTAAATGAAAGGACGACAATACGCTCAACGAACGATTGGAGGAGTATGATATTTTTGGCTCATTTTTTCTGCTGGTCTATGATCGCTGCGGAATATATAAGCCAGTGGGAAAGTTCGATCGCAGGGGCGTGTCTCATATTTAGTATGACACTTATTACATTACCCTTTAAATTGGACCCTTACTCAGTTTTTACCATAGATTATATTATCATATCTTCTGTGATCTCCTTTGTGTTGTTGATCGAAGGTAATCTCTGTAATATATTCATATGTTGATACTAGTAAAGCTTACAGTAGTTATTATAGCTCAATGCATTAAAAATTACTGCATTTGCTTCATTATCTATTAAATTTATGAGTTATTTCTCCTCTTAAATACTTATATATATTATAATCTCCGTCAAATTCACCGCAACGATTGAGCATATTAAAAAACTATGGTTTTACTTCCTAACTACTATTACACTAACCAATCATCAGGGCGTAAGACAGATCAGGACGCGCCGATCACTCTAGATCCTTCTCCCTTACACCACCCTTATTAAGGGTTAGGGGCTTTAAAAATTGGGAAGTGTAACAAGCTTTTACACATTTTTGAAAAACAATTTTAGTACTCACAAGTACGTCTCATAAAATATCGAATACGTGTCGATAATTTGATTCGATACTTGTATTGGTTTGAATACTTACTCGTTTCAAATAACGGGTGGTATTATGATGGTATTAATAGTTTTTTAGATGTCTATGTGGATTTTGGAGTTATTGGTCAGGTAAAACTTGGGTAAAATTGGTAACGGGTTGGGTAAAACAATGATGTCAGTCTGGCAACACCAGTCACATGTCACAAGACTTCCGAGCGAGATTTGCTTTTGCAATGTAAATTAGAAGACTAAATAAATGATTTATATTAATAACATAACGTGTAGTGGTTCTACTTAATTCAATAAATTAGTTTCAGTCAAGTTGTTAAGGTGACCGTTTTTTCATTATAGAAAATATGGTGTCAATTGTGTTCGTCGTTTAATACTAGTGAATGGCTGGTGTCAAAGTACAATCATCTAATAAAAGATGCAGTCTATTTTTTGGACTGGCAGAGCGCTATCACGTGCTTTAAGGAATGGGCTTTCTAGCCTTTCAAGTGCTGCTGAATTGAATATTTCTAATAAAAAATATCCGTACTTAGTATCCGTAGTATGTGGTTTTCCTAAAGACATTGCAAATGGAAGAACACGTAAAGGTCAATTCGGAGATGATGCATGGTTTTCCACCAACTTCAATAATGCAGATGTTATTGGTGAGTTACTTTTTATTTATTTAAATGTTATAATTTTGCTATAATTATCATACTAGTTGTCACTACACTGGCCAATACATTTTTCTCCACACATAACATGATGAGATCAGGAAACATTGTCTAAATCTTTCTCAAGTTGAGAGTGAGTTAATGTATCAGTGCACCCAAAACATATGACATGTTTCTCAAAAGTCATGCTAATCATACTGTTGATTTTGAAAACATTGCTTATTCAACTAGCTCTCTGTATTGTATCAGCAAATAAATACACATGTAAATCCATTTTTATAATAATATTCTTAAAATTGGTTGGTTTGGTAAGAGTTGAATCTTAGTGCACTAGAATATGTTGAGAATATTTCTAGTAAAACTTTATATCACTGTTCAACAAGCTTATTAAGTATCTCAATAACTTGTATTTTACCATTATACTATTCACCTCAAGTCCAATATTACAAGTACAATGCATTCTTCACACATCAGTGGTGGCAGATATGTGATAATATTTGACTATAGAGATGCAATTAAACATTAGCAGATTTGGCCTGAAACATTATGTCAAGGAGCTTTCCATATAGAATTTTGATTAACACTTAACTCTTTATTTAAAATAGAAATACATTATTTTATATTTTAAACATAAAGGCATATTTGTTACTTCTACATGTTAAATTCATGAAGCCCAGCATACTTCAAATAATAAATTACCTTTTTGATGTTTTAATACAACAGTCAGTTACTCAAAGTGATGATAATTCAAATAATATATAGAGATAAAAATGTTACAAATATATTATGTAAATTCTTTTCTACTCATTTTATTGTAGAAGATACTTGATGCCAGGTTTGACTGTAATATTATCAATGTGAATTCAGATACTCATTTTAGTTAAATTACATATAATTAATTTTGTTTTTAGGAGTTGCAGATGGAGTGGGAGGGTGGCGTGCATATGGAATTGATCCGGGCGAATTCTCCTCGTATCTCATGAGAACATGTGAAAGATTAGTTCAAATGGGTCACTTTAAATTATCAGAACCAGGAGATCTCTTAGCTAAATCCTATTATGAACTTCTAGAGCACAAGAAACCTATACTAGGTATGATATTACACAATGCTGTTACTGAACTGAAATTTTATATAATTTTGCCAAGCAGCACAAAAAGTATTTCAAATAAGGTTTAGTGTTTTATCCTGAAAATGCATTATGTTTCAGTTATTTCATTATGAAACTTACATATATAGAGTTCAATAAATATCAAACTTTCAATCCCTTCATTACATAAAATGATTTTGGGGTGGTGGCAGTGGTAGGTTAAATAAAAAATATATCTATAGAATTTAAATATTATGAAATAAGTAATTTTGGTTTCATTGGGTCTAAATAGCATCCTTATAATTGATGTTTATTACCTATAGGTATATTACACACCAAAGCAAGTTGTAGTTCATAAATTAACTTAAATATCATAAATAAACATATTTTTTTTATTAATTGTAGGTAGTAGCACAGCTTGTGTAATGATCCTGGATCGTAATGAGAGTGTTATGCGGGCAGCCAATATAGGCGACAGTGGTTATATGGTGGTGAGGGGAGGCCGCGTTGTGCACCGTTCTCATGAGCAACAACATTACTTCAACACACCATACCAACTTAGTTTGCCTCCACCTGGCCATGACCGGAATGTTCTTAGTGACAGGTTGGTAACACCCATAATATCATACCTTTAAACACCATGTGTATTTATGAAAATGTAATGTGTGTGGTGTTATGAGATCATATTTTTCATTGAATCAATATTTCCACATTTCTGTTTAAACAAGTTCCTTAAATAGTTCCAATTTTGATAAAACAATTTATTTTGTGAAAATAATAGCATATTGTTGACATAAAACTATACAGTAAAAATTTACCCTGAAAATTATAAAATACAGCAATGTATGATGGGAATGATATATTTTTAAATCAATAAACAAGATTATAATTTATCAATATTAGTAGTCTGTATCTCACGTCAAACAAAACACCAATTAGAGTGTGTGACATCATTTGTGGGCAAAGTGGCAATAACACTATCTAGGAAGAGTGCGGGAAACATACACAATATAAACTAATTTTAATGATTTTAGTGTTTTATGTGTTTGAATGTAAAAATGGCATATGATTATTCAATAAAAAAAAACCCTTTTTTTTCACTCCACAAATTACTCATTCTCACTGGCATTAGATTTAATGTTGAGTTGTATCAAGTAAAATTTTCGGTATTATAGAATAATCGTAACCTTCTAGCAATGATAACAACCTTAATAATTTTACTCAGAACATAACACATTTTTGTTATTCTCGGCCGTACATTATACAGGTTTTCGACCTACATAGATAATAACATAGTGCATTGTGCCGGTTTGTTTACTGTTTGTACTAACGGTGTGATCTGACCTGAGCTTTCGTAGTATTCCCAATTCTTATTTTTTCTTACAAAGGGAGAGGGAGTGAAAAACCAGCAAAAAATAACGTTATTCATATCTACATAGGTGTTATTTATCAAACAGAATAATGTAATAATATTACCTATTATTACACAATTATAATGTAAATAAATAGATCTTGTAAGGCTGCGGTCATACGAACTGCGTCATTGTAACCACACTCGGTGATTCAACTGTATGCAGTTGAAATATCGACAGGTAGTAGATTTCATTAATTCTGTCTGGTCGTAGCGATTTCAATTCCTTTGTTTATTTTAGTACATTATGTAACAATACGCATAATAGATAATTATCATTTTCCCAAGTCACAAGCAAGCTTCATCATCACGGGATTTGTAGTCATGTGCTCATTCCACAATCAGCACTGTTGGTATTTCTGTATGGACTAATATTAGAATTTTCAGCTTATTGGATATTTGCCAGCAGTCATGTGATTGTGTTAGTTTTGTTTATAAACATTTTGGGATACTTAAATAGAATAGTTTGATTGTTCTTAATAGAATTGTTGCTCTCGTGCAACATTTAGGCTGTGTTTAGACGTAGTATGTTGGTAGTCTGACAAAAATATTGGCGCGATTTGATTGGCCCGTTTACCTGGGTTTGATTTAGAACAGGCCATGGTTTTTGACTTACAGGTAACTACAGCTGATTAGATTTTTACGTTATGATATGGGTATTATACATCGTAAGTTGTTGTAAAACAGCACGTTTATTGAGCAGCTAGGTGAGTTGTCGCTGCTAGTACAAGCTGCTTGAGATATTCCGATATTCTTGGCGATTCAGCTGTACACGAGTTGTGACGTCACAACGGGCAATTATAAGCAAGCAAGAGCAAAAAACGTATTAAAAAGTATCGCAACTACGTTATGTCATGACTTTCAATTGATTAATGTCCAATTACGAATTTAAACGGTCTTAGCTGTTCGTGGCCTATATGTATATTGATATCAAAGTTAGATTGATATGTTATCAACATTGTTTTGTATATCAACAGATTTTTTAAATAATAAAATAAAGTATAGTAAATTGATTAAAACTATTTTTTTTTTTAATTTATTTATTCAACTGCCTAAGCGTTTAATACTTTACACTAAAAGACCAGAGTGACTCGCACGCCAGTTTTAAAGTTTCACCATCTCTGGGGTCCCGGGTTTCGATTTCAGGTCGGGCAAATATATAAAACATACTTTGTTTCATATTACCATAATACATGGAATAAAAGCTACTTTATTTGTGATTTATGTGATGACTAATATTTATCTATAAATCAATACGTGAGGGTATAATTTTGTATTGTTTTTACTAAAATTGCGTGGACGGTCCTCCGTCCCGTATTAAATACGTTAAAATTTACATAGTTAAGAAGCGTAGAATGCTTACATTTTTTTTTATAAAGTACCCTCCAAAACACATCAAAGTGTAAAGTACACAATATTTCAAATTCCTGCTATGGACTTTGGACCTCTATCTTTAATGTTTTATAGATTCAAATCGACTGGAGAAATTTGACAGTTTTGTATAGTCTGACGTGCTGTCGACAGTACGTTACACGCGCTAATACTTTTGACACTTGTATAGGTACTGAATGTCAAATAATCATAAAAAAAAAGCTTTGCTCCAAAAACCAAAACTTAACATAACACACAACGGTTGAATTTTGACTGCCGGGTGCCGGTTCTATTCGATTAGAACTTAGGGCCTATGTTTTTCTTTTGCTTTGGAGATTCAACCTGGAGTGTTATTCCATAGTCATCAATCATTGCGATTGACAGGACAATGTTTTATAGTAATTGACATTTTCCTATTCAGGCCAGATTCCGCGGAGACATCGGAGTTCGCCGTGGAATGCGGCGACGTGATTCTGGTGGCGACAGACGGTGTATTCGACAATGTGCCGGAGCCGGTTCTGGTGGCGGAAATGAGACGCGCACAAGGATTAGCCGGCGACTCGAAACGGCTGCAAGCTGTCGCCAACTCGATCGCGTGGATGGCGCGAAACCTCTCCTTCGACGGTTGCTACATGTCGCCGTTCGCCAAGAGCGCGAGGCAAAACGGCATAGATGCTATCGGTGAGACTGCTTTCTTTATTATTAACATGCTGTTTTAAGGCCTGCCAGTTTTTCGTCAGCTTCTTCGCGTGGTTCCTAAAGAACTGTTTATTTGGATATCGATTCATATGTAATGACACAGATGTAATGTGGAAGTATAAAGAAAATAATTCCCGAAATTAGATGTAGCTATGATACTTTCTTGATTTCACCATGACAACCCTTCCGGTTTTCTTTCATGTATAAAAGTAAATTAGTATTCAAAGTCAATAAACAACTCATATTCTATTTGAAATTTATCGCATTTGCAAAATTTTGTCATATCTAAGTTTTTAACCTTGCAAATTTCAGTTTTTAATATGTTAGTTAAAAGCAACAGAAATTACTATCTTTAGTCCATTCGTTTCCTGCAAAAATCAACTTTTGCTAGAGTCGCCATCTAGTGGAGGTGCTTTCTTTTTATTTTTAAATATTTCCTCATCACAATGACATTGAATATTAAACAATCGTCACCTATTGTGGTAACGTTTTAATTACCTATACAAATTTCTACTCCCATTTTCATCCCTTTATTTCCTGTTTTTTGGTATAGAAATATAGCCTTTGTTCACCGAATCATAGCAGAATTGCTCTGCTGTACTTAATATTATAAAGAGGTAAATATTTGTTAATGAAAAATGCCTAAAAAATCCACTTTATCCCTGGCACTCAGGAATGGGACTCGATGCCTACTCTTATTAAATTCTTAATTACCTTTTAATTATTATCAATTCTAAGATAATTTTGATATATGCATGTTTCAATACTTTGAGTGGGCACCGTCTATCTCGCTCGAATGATGTCTAACACACATACTTGCAAGAATTGCTGCAATAATCGAATATAATATTTATATATTTTATACAATGGAATATATTTTCGTACAATTTTATGTTTTCTATTATAATTATTTAGTATACACTTGTAAAATCTATTTTCCTTTTGAGATTATTGAATATATATAAATATAAAATTGCTATTTACATTTATCGTTTCGATTGACACAGTTTATCATACTTGAACTTTACTATCAACAAAAAATCAATGTGGTCGAAGGTCAAAAAATATTGAGTACCACTTATATAGACCTTGCCGCTCTACGCCCTTCGCTCTGTGTAGATTCTCCTCATCATAATCTAATTAACCCGGAGGCTAGCAATCGTTGTTGTCAAGCAACTCTCGCAAGAGCCGTTCACGAGATGGGTGAACAAAAAATTATTATTTCGGAAGGCACGTTAAGCTATTGGTCCTGACTGCATTTGCAGTCGTCAATACCCTCTAATTTGCGTTGATTGATCCATCCTCAATTATAAGGAAGGTAATGCATATGGAGTGCATAAAGAAGGTCGGAGCCCCTGCAATGGAGACGCAAAAAGGCTGATGATGACTAATTGTTAATCTTAATTTATTATTTGGCATGACTAAATAAAGTTTTTTTTACATTAGAAATAATTATTTGTTCACAGGTGGGAAACCAGACGACATAACGGTGCTACTAGCTATAGTAGCGCTATGAAAATGTGTCCGTACGATTTAGATAACTTTTAGGCACATGTTTTGAATAGACATTTGCAAATTTAAGTAATTTTGTGATTTAATGACACCAAAAAAAAATCATTATAATTAATGGATCATATTTGATTCCACTTGTTTGTTCAGATCACATAAATTCACAGATAAGATATTATCTTGGAGTGATGATTATTATAGAATTAACTTATTATTATTCCATGCAGTGAGTAAATGATCTGATTGCGTCGATACTAAATTGATTTAATTCTGCTTTATTCATGGCTGTCTGATACACACTAGTCACGAAGTGTTGTTTTTGTAGATAGCCATTTTCTGTTTAAGAACATTGTTCCAGACAACTTAATTTAAGATTTGTTCAGTCAAATGAACGATGATTATTTAGACAATCGTCTTATGCTGGATCTTTATAAGACAAACTTGTAACGAGGGTTTGTGTATTTTATTTTGTGTAAACTGAAATTCACTGTTTAAAATTATAAAACGTTGCACGCCTTTATACTCCTAACAGTGCAAACAGAATTAAGAACAATTTTATCAATAATTTGTTGTTACCCATTTTTTTCTTGAATATTAGTAAAAAGAACTTATATATGTCAGTGTGTCAAATGACAATTGTACAATGGTGTTGACATACTCATCAGCGATGTCATTTTTTTCCAATGACGGCTGGAAACCGTCATTGCGAACATGCACCGAAACTAATACAGGCGTAGAGTCGAAGTGCGTTGAAATATCAATTTGAAATCAATATGTATAGCAAATTCACCCTTATCTTAAGAACGTAAGGTTCTTTTTTGAGATAAAAACAGGTGGCATCCTCGCTTTTTTTGCTGATTTGTGCGCGTATTTACGAAAATGGGCGCGTGACCTTGTTTTTGTTTCAGAAGAGATATGAACTTTACCTTTTTGAGTTGAGGGTTAAGCGTACGAATTAGTTTTGGTTGAGAAGTATTTTACGCTTTGATGCACTCCGCATCGATTGACCCATATTTTCATTCAATTCACAATCAATCTCGATCACAACGAACTGCGAAAAATAATCATTATCTGTCGCCAAAACTAACCCATGAGTTTGCATTGTAATTTCGGACAAATGGGTTCATGTGTAGAAATAGATAACACATTTTAGGGTTAATTTAACAGGTGTACCTGGGGTGCGACAGCTAAACTCTAGGCATAGTCATGGTTACATTTCGTTATAATTACTGTTGTATTTTGATATGTCTGGTGGATAAATGACTAACGCGGTAACACTGTTGCCAAATCCTTTCTAATTACTTTATCGAATGTCAAAGTAGTAAAATAAAATATCGCCCCAACGTTGCTAAAATATCGTATTCTATAGCTAGACGTAGACGGTCGCACCACTGTATAGCTGACAGCTGCTTTCACTTTAAAAGGGACAAAATTAAATTATTATGACACTGGGAAATAACCAGGAATTAGCATGGGTGTGTTTTAAATATGATTATAAAAAATGTGACTTTCAGAAAAGTTTGTGTCTAATATGCGTTTGTGAATGCTTGTATGAAGACTGACATTACTAGGTATACTGTTGTTGTTTCTATTGAATAAGATCTTAGTCATTTATGGAAAAATGTCAGTAAGCTTTTTGTAACATTATTTTTTGTAAATTTATGAAAAAAAAATTAAGTATATCGTAGGCTACCTTTTGTCATATATTTTTCTATCCATTATTATTTCTGTTAAATTCTAATTGGAGCGTAAATGGACAGTATTTTGATTGACTGTTTTGTAAATTTTCTTTAATTATTACATTAATTTTAATGCATTTATGTGCTCCCAGTAATAAGTAGTACAACACGGTGAATATCTCCAAGTACAAGAAGACCACTAAATAGTATTGATTGATTGTTTGAAATTGGTAATTCCCGTTAATGTAGGTAGTCAACAAGTTAGATAATTTGAATCTGTTAAATTTCTCCATTTGATTTTAAGCCCTAAAACTTTGAAGGTAGAGTTTAAAATTAGATAAGAAATTGTGGTAACAACCTGACATACAACATCAGCATATAATGTTAACCAAAACAGTTTTCTTTGATCATTTTTTAATGTTATGTTACATATTTTTTGTGGAAAGTTTGCGTTTTGTGATATACTAATGTGCTGGTGAGTGTACATAGCGTATTACATGATAAAATCTCATCTGATCAAAGTTACTATAGTAATCTATTTATTACTATATATTAAATTTGTAACATGTCACTTTTGCAGGTGTCTCTTAAAGTCCCTTGTACAGCAACTAGTTTACATGCCACTTTCCCACCCTTCAATAAATGATAAATTAGGCAGTTGTATTGGCTTGGCTTGTACATAGATGAAACTATATAGTTTATAATAGTTATAAGCCCAGGCAAATTAGCGTTTCACATCTAAATGTGACATAATAATCTGGAAACTAAGACTCACTAGAACGCTTTTGCGTTGCAAGTTATTCAAAGTCAGAAGTCACAACATCGTTTTACCTCGAGGACTCTATTGTGAAGTTGAAAAGATCTATCGAGGAGTTATATTTTTGGTTGGTGACAAATTTAAGATAGAGGGCGGAGAGTATGCAATGTTCATTCATGCATACTATATTGAAAGTTCAATGGTGAATCTCGGTGATATTTTGTATAGAATTATTAAACTATCAAAATATAATATTTATTAGCTGTTTATTAACATTTTATAAGATATCAATTAACGAAGTTCACTATTGTACTACGCGCTCCCAGCTGTAGCTGTAAAACAGTACAAAAAACGTTTAGAACCAATATTGTCACACGTTGAACTATCTGTTTTTAATAGAAGATAACATGTTGGATCGATAAAATCAAAAGATAATTACAAAAGGCAGTTTCAGATTTTATAAAATTGGAGACTACATTTAGAACGCAAAGATGATTTTCAGAAATTTAGATATTTTTATTCTTATTTCGAGCAAATATTTTTTGTGCTAAATTTGACTGGGCTTTTACTTTAGCTGCGAGCTGAAAGATTCGTGATACTACTGTAACGAGTCTATTGATGTATTTAATTTGAAAATATTGTAATATGGCTAATTTGATCTTCAATCCAAATACTGTATGGAAAGGAAAATAAAAATGATTATCATAAAAGTTATTTTACTATTCACAAAAACCAAATCTTATCTAATACAGATTACAGTTAAATTGATAAAACAGAGAATATTATCATTACTGGAGTAATAAGTATGCGTAGATTATTGAGTAATATATTTCTCACTTTTTATATCGGATGCTGTCAATCAGAAATTCGTAAATTCATTTTTATACATAATTGCTTTCAAGCAATTTTAAGCGTTCATACTTAAAAAAAAATATAATAATAATTAATTTCCAGGAAACAATACCATATAATAATAACATTATGGGTTTTTATATTACTTATATTTTAATTTGGTACTTCAGTTATCTATTATTTTCGTCATTATCACCGTCGTTTGGGCGACGCCAATCGAATCCCCCAGGACGAATATTGGCAAGCTCGGGCAGTGGTTCATATTCTGGTTCTTGAGGATCAAAAAGCCTTTTTCTGAAAGAAAATCCTCGTTTACTTAATATATAATTTTTTTTTATCAAAATTTTTATTATATTAATATAGATACTCAAGAAACTGTTCACTATAGTCCGGTCCAAAGAGAATTTAAACACGTCCGGCCGCGGTACAGAGAGAATTTTGTACAATGACCCCTCATTACATACCTTTCATTCGTGCTCAAACATTGCTATTGCGCTCTTACACCTGTATCTATAATGTAGTAAAAGTAATTGCTTAAACAAATTTTTTTAACAAATAAGAATTTGAAGAAAGCGAGAAATGTTAATAGTAAGAATACTATTATTATTAGCTATTAACAGTTTTTATTTCATAAAAAAAAAAAAAAATGCAAAAATATGCCCTTTTCTCAATAATTACTTCTCTAGACTATAAATAAGAGTATTTAGCAAATTTTCAGTAGGCACAAAGGTCAACGTACGAAGTCCTCTCTGTTTGGCGATTAAACAATAGCAGTGAAATAATCGGTAGGTACTGCAGAAGTTCAGGGATTGTGTGTGCTTTTGACTCGGCATAGGGGTCCCGGGTGTCATCCCCAAAGGATGAGGGTACCTCCCCACCATAGGGGTTTTTGTGGGTAAGGAACCCACCTTGACAGAGTTCCGTACACCTAACCCTTGCTAGGCGGCAGGGGTGAGTGACTAATGCGTTTCCTCTACGAATAATAAGTCATTATAGAGTGCATTATTTTCTGTTATTGTGATGTCAGTTATTCCTTTTCCTTACAGTTCTTTAGTAAGAGAATCATGGGTTTGTCTTATCTAACAACAACTGAGTTTTCCTTATTAAAAAACTTACAGAAACTTTGGTGTCTTAAGAAGTTTTTGGCCACCTCTTTGGCGAGGTAATACATCCTCCATGAAGAAGTAAATATGACCGATAGCCATCCCAACTAAATCTACAGAGATAGCATTGCCAAGTAAGACTGAAAAACCCAATAGCACCCATGGCAAGTATGGAGCCTGTGAAAAATATAAAGTCATTCAAGTAGAGATAAAAAAACTAATGTATAGTTGTGTGTATGCTTTGTTGAGTCATGTACAACTCAAGTTACCTGAAAATTCATGAGCCCAAAAAAGTTCATGCGAACAAACACATTTCGCCTCGACCACACATAAACAATCATAATAGTAAAAGCTTGACCTAAAAATAATAAATTGACAAAAAATGCGCACAACTGTATATTATCTTCAGAAATTTTATTTCTATGAAATCATGAAACCTTAGATTGTATATTTATTTATTAATTACCAATAAATGTTTAGTATGGAGGGCAGTCTGTTATTTTATATTTTGGCCATGTGTAAAGTAATACTTTGAAAGATAACTATATAGGATAAGAACTAACAAATAGATCATACCCACCATGAGTATAAGTCCATAATTTGTGTAGGATGTGAAATTGTATGAAAAGTAGATTAGAAATTTTGACTGTGAGATGCCTGCAAATGCTAAGAGTACTCATTGCACTTGCAGGCAGAATAACGGGAGGGTCGCGATCACCTGCAACCCGGTAGGCGTTACTCCGGCACTCAATAGTTTTATTGGTGGGTGTCAGTCACGTAAATTTAGTGGCAGTAGACAGCAGCAACAGCCACCGTTTGTACGTTACATAAATTTTTGGTCTATACTATAGGTAATGTGACTATATTTGATCAATTTTGCATTTACAACCATATGTTGAAAAATATTTTGGCTGTTTGGGTGGATTGCCTGAACAGTGATGAAAATACACTTTGTAGTACAAAGTATCAAGCGTGTGAAAAAATTGTCAGTCCTGTTAGGGTCTTAGTATCTCAGAGGTTAGAGCAGTTGCCCGAATTGCAAAAGGTTATGGACCGTCTCAGACCAGATCAATACCAAGGATATAGTGAATTTTATAAATGTTTTCATTAAGAATATACTATAATGTCCTTTTTTTTATGGTCACAACTGATTTGGCAATAATTAGTTGACTTAATGCCCCTTCAAAAACTCTATTATAAGTTTTGAAACTTCTGCTAAATTATGGATTTAAACTTGTAGGTTTACAACAAACCCAAATTACTTGTGTTGAAATTGTACTCTTTTCATCATACAAATGTTTATATATTTACATTGGTAATTTAAGGCATCTTTCGTTACCAATAACAAAAAAAAAACAAATATCATTCTCTCTGATCCCTTTCAAAATTGTGATAAATAGTTTGTAAAGGATACAATCATCAAGACCCCTCCAAAAACAAACATAACAACAAAGTCAGCAGTTCTTCCTCTAAATGATCCTTCCTCTAACATTCTGCAGTACCTATATGTAAATATCATATTGAAGAAGAAATTGAACCCCAAGTTTCCGAAGAACAGGAATGTTGTTATAAGTCTCCATAATTGATATTTTTTGAGGATAAGAATAGGATTAAAGTATAGTTGAAATGGGGACACAAGATCTAGTTGCTGAAACAAAAATAAAAAAAATATAAATATAACATAAAGCTAGAATAAAAATATACCGTTTAAACTTTGTATGAACTCACCACAGCTAAGGTGGTGACTACACAAGCAGTGGTATATGCACGGGTCACAGGAGGAATAAGCATGTATTCTTGGAGGAAAGTTTGATATGCCATGTTTAATGTTGTGAAGACCACTTTCTTAATATTTAAAAGTTAGTCGGTAAGTATATTCATGTACTGAGACATGATTGGGCCACATCAGATTAGTGCTAAAAGAATAATTTCTCAGATTAGGCTTCTACCTACTAAAAATCACATACTTGTGACAGTTGGTGACAGTGGCAGGTAAATAAATATCACAGACTATAGAATAGGGTACACTCTCTAGCATGCTGCTTACAACACTGCCTTTTTTTAAAATCAATTTTAAATCGTGTTTGTTTCTTCAACAAGTTTGAAATGTTACTTGTAGAGAATAGTAGTCATCTTAGTCAAAGGGATCTTAGCCCATATAGCATAGTGTTTTCTATTTAAAATTCTTTTTTTTTAGTCAAATTTTGGTGTTTTTGTATCAGTCTTAAACTGAATGAAAATAGGTGTTTGTTATATGTCATCTGTGGATCTAATTTGATATTCGCAAGGATACTTATTACTTTTAGTTTATTCATTGCCTCATTTATTAACCAAAGAGAAATTTATTAACTGTAAACAACTCTCCGGTCGACTGGTAGAGTATGCCTAAAGGTATTTAGTCCGCCATTTGTAGTTTCTTTTTGAATTAAAGTTTAAAATAAATATTTAATAAATTAATTAAGAATAGGGTATTTTATACTTTTCTAATAACTATTTAAGTGGTTGTTTAATACATGATAAACACTCTATTAATTATATTTCATCTGTTCTAGTTTCGATGAAAAAATTGTTAAAATGTAAATAGCCAAAATCGCTGTTCTATCTAATGATCTTCTGATTATTTATGATTCCTTCGCCTGTTTTTCATGGAAGGACTATTTAATAGTATTACTTCTGTAATACTATTTATTTACGAAGTAAACCAATAGTAGGTATTACAGAAGTTAAATTTTATGTTTTGTATTTACTATGGTTTTGTTTATTAAAATGAACTACAAATTGTATGTATAAACAAATTTTGCGTTTCTCTTATTATATCAATGATCTTTAAAAACACTGTTTTGACACCACAGCTTCCTGTTTACGTATTACATCACATAGGTACCAGAACAGAACCTCATCGTAGGGATGTCAATATTAGAAAAACATCGATATTGACATCGATGTCACCATCGTAAGCCCAACATCAATGTTCGATATTTATTGAAAACCGGACATCGATGTTGGAAAACATCTAGATCTAGATTTGGCTAGAAAACATCGATGTGCCGATGTTATCGAAGTTAAAACATCGATGTGCCGATGTTATCGAAGTTAAAACATCGATGTTTATTCAACATCGATCCATAGATTAATATTGTATATAGGGTAATCATCCCTACCTCATCCAATTATAGGTGTCTTCGTCGTTCATTAAAATTTCTACAAATGTTGTATTTTCTTTACGTTATTTTATTAAAGCTAAACATATTTTGTATGCAAATTCTAAAAAATAAACTTAATTAGATTATCATCTAACAGGATGACTATAATACTAAACTTATTTTTAATAGCGTCAAATACCTTATTACAGGGTGTTTCCATCGTACATTAAATTCCCAAAAATGTTGCTTTTTTCTTTACATTAGCTAAACATAGACTCTAAGAAATAAACTTTATAAGATTATTATCTAATAGGATGACCACAACACACAGCTCTTTTTTCATAGTGACAAATACCCTATTTTTCAAATTGGTCAATCAAGTTTTGGAGCTTATTCAATGTAAACAAATAACAATTAAATCATTCCACTTCTTAATATTAGTATTTATAAAAGAATATAATGGCGTCATTCCCATACATTAAAAATTAAATTAACATATAAAAGAAAAAAGGTACTTTTGTGCAATAAAATAAGTTTTTTGAATTTCTTTTATTTAATAATACATATTGTGTATTTAGATTACACTTTTCCAATACAAGTAACTACCGCTGCCTTAACTTACATAAACAGAAGCCAAGTAGTCATAATCATAAGTTCTTTTTAAGAACAAATCTACTAATGACAGGCCAGAAATGCTGTGAAGGCCAGTATTGATAGGTAGAGCAGTTAGATTAACATAAATAAATTTTCCAGGTTCTAGCGGTCCCAGTTTTCTATTTGATATTCCACACCACAACAGACTACTATCTTGAAGTGATCTAAGTTTCATAAACAAATTCAGAGTTCGCTCACTGGCATTCATAATTTTACATTTGAAGTCAAAAGGTTCATCTACAGTAACTTTATTGGGTAACATTTCATATGTAAGTCTCACATCTCCATACTCTGTGGTCATTCTTTGTAACTGACTGGTTTGCAGTCTTCCTTTCTCTCCTAAATTTGATCTCCAGACTATATCAAACTTACCAATGTTTTTAGCAGCAGCCAGTAGTTTGATATCTTTTGATATATTCTCTTTTGGTGTCAAACAATATAAGTACTGGCAGCTTTCTTGAGGTTGAAGTAAAGTTATGTCACCAAAAACAGACTGCCCTTCTTCAATCTCATTCAATGATTTCACAGTAAACTGTTGGGAACTTTCTAATGATACTTGCTCCAATGTGATTGGCCCTGTTGTAATATTTTGCACTTGCGCCTCCAAGTAAACATCATCTGATTCAGCATTATAAAATTTAGTTTTAACATCTAATGGTTTCATAACTTCAAATTTGAAAAACTTTCTAAATGATGCCAATGTACTATAATAAGACATATATGTTACTTCACAAACTAAGATGTGAGTACCAAGATCTTTTACCTCATGATGAATTACATCACTTAAAGTTTCATCAACATCAAGCATCATTGGGGATTGACTCTGTTGAGTAGTAAGTGGTATTCTTTGAGAGTTTGTTTGTAGATCAGCTTTAATAGAAACACTTTGTACTGGTTGATTTGTTTCGTTATGTACACAAACATAGCAAGAAAATGTTTCTCCAAGATAAATATTTCCAAAACTTTGGGGAAGTAACAAAAACTGTCCAGCAGCTAAAGTTTCCATTTGGGTTACTGATACCGCATCGTCCTTTAGGTAGTTATTTAAAATATTACCGGGTAAATCTTTAGAGTCACAGGTTACAATTTTTGGACTAATTAAAGCAGGCTTAGTTAATCGCATTACCTTTAACGCGACTAAATGTTCAACTGCTTCTTTTGTATCCATTTTGTTCATATATTTCGATTGGAACAGCAGGTCCTATTCTTTAGAGGTACACAAAATTCTTTATTTACACAATTTTTCTGCATAGAAAGAAAAACGAATTTACGTTTTACAAAAACTATACGAGCCACAGAACAACTTACACCAAAGTACGCACATTGATGGTATTACAGTAAGTAAAATTTTAATGAATAAATGATGTACTGTATTTAGAACTTATACTTATTAAAGATTTAGAATAAAACAAGTAATTCTCACAAACTTAGACAATGACATCACAGATTATATAGTTATGCACAGACTTAGTAGTTTCCGCTATATTATACTACTCTTTGCTTAGTAGGTATCAGACGACCAACTTCCTAACAAACTTCGTAGAACGTGATTGGGAGCCAGTGATACATGACAGCTTCATTCGTTTTAAATATTAAGATCTACTATCGGCAAAGGAATTTGGCTATACAGCCCTGTTTTGGGTAGGTACCTAGCCGTCTTCCTATTTTCCACATTATTTTTACTTTAAATTCCTTTTTGTTTTAATACAACAATAATAATAAAGCAGACTGATAAGTCTAGCTTATTATTAGTGTTGTATTAAAACAAAAAAGGAAAAACGAACGCGTAAATGAAACGCACATTTTTCCAATATTATTTATTGAATAATTTATTTCTTAACTTATTATATTTTTCACAGCTTTTTTCTACATTCTCGGCAATTCATAGCTACGTTTTTTAGTGGCACAACCTTATGAAACTTTTCAAGGTAATTACAATTTTTTTTAAAGAGGGCACTGATTTTTGCATACCTTTTTATACACATAATTAAGTTTTTTCTAAAATTTCAATTGCCTTTGGCCAGAAAGAATGATGGTGTGTCTTATCGGTCACAGCTCTTTTCCTTTATGTTTTTTTTGTTTATCGATGCTCCATTGACACTATCAAATAATTGGTCAAAGAATGAAACAACTTCAGCTGTATTTCTTAATATTGTGCTGACGAGCCTGCCATCCACATAAGATGCTGCAAATTAAAATATTCATATAATAATTGTATGAAACTTGATTCAAAACTATTAACTTTCATCTAATACTCACAGAAATTTGCAGTGTAAGACAAAGCTGCAGACAGAATGGCTCAATATTTTTACACAATTTTTTACCTGCAAAAAGAGATATCATATTTAAAATTATCTTCATTAGAGAATAATTATTGTAATTTAAGTGTAAACTATATTAACTACTTGTTACATAATTAAAAATACAGGTCATTGAATCAACACTTGCTCTGATAGAGAATATAGAAGCTGAATACAAATTATTTCTTTTACTTATACTAATTTAAGTTATACTAATATAATAACCAATGCATTACCTTCATCTTTTTAATTTTATCAGGTATAACTCATTGGTCATTTAATCTATGACGTAGCCCAGCTTCAGCGTGATGGCAGTCTGTCTCATTGACATAAATAATATCATGCCATTTTGCAAGTTAACCATCCAATATTAAATTTTTTGTTAAAAAATTGTTCCTGATACATTTTATCAAGTGTGTAGAATCATAATGTTCAAATCCACCACATATTTTAAGAATGCCAACTGAAACAAAAATTTAAGAACTCCTCAAATCATAGATAACAATATAAAAATAAGAACCTTCACTGCTTTCATTAAATCTATTAGTTTTCTTTCATATAAATATAATTCTCTGTACCAACCTGTGATTTCAATTTAAAATTTGATCTTGTGTCTTCTTTTAGATTTTTGAGTGCTGATTGGAAAGCTGAGCCTTGGTCATATATTATTACGATGGGATTAAGGTCCAATTCAACAACTTATTCTACTATTAACTTTAAAATATTCTTGATGTTTACAGTAGATGTAGCTCCTTGACAGAAATAGTAACATAAAGGCTGTTGCCACTTGTAAACAGCACCAACATAAATACAAGAGATCTGAAAAATCCACTTTCTTTTCTAGGTGTTCTACAAATCCATTAATGTTATCTTTAATCCTTATTACTTTTATTATACAAAAGTGCTGTTTCTAATGACATCTCATCAAATATAATGGAGGATATTTTTTTGGAGTTTCATTTGTCCACCTGAAAAACTAAATTCAAATAGGTAGGTACATATTATTATTTTGTAGTAATACAAAAAATTATAAAAGTAGTATGAAAAACCTTATATGGAATATATTTACCTCTTACATGAAGCCTGGTTCTATGATCAATTTTCTAATCATAGTATTCAGTGTAGTATTGGATGATAAAATAAAAAATTTTGCTTAAAAATCAATAACACTTTAGACTCTGCTTCGATATTGATAAAGCAATTATCTTTTCTTCAGTAGTGAATCTCATGTTTATTTTTAGAGCACATGCTCACTTGCATTTCAAAAACATTTTTTGCAACTGTTTTCATTTTTTGTGTGAACTTTTCAAATGATAAATTTTTACAAAACTTAAAGGTATTTAAGTATTCTTAACTTTTTTATGAAAGTTCAACTACGTCTTTGGCTTGTTATATTCTTCATAAATTCTCTGGTATAAAGGTGACAATTGGCTTTATTTGGTAATAAGCCTTTTCCTTTTTTTTCCATTTCACAGGGTCTGTAACATCAAAAGTATTCAGTGAATTTCTCTATTAGAACTACTATTTGATTGAAATAAAGATACACTAAAGAAAGAGACAGGTCTTACCAGATAATTTAGTTTGTGTCATATTTTAATCTCCAGAACCAGCAACTAATTTAGTAAACTCAGTGGCTGCAGACACAAGAGTCTCAATTTGTTCTTTGAAAATTACACCACCTATGAAATCAATATTGATTATGTGTGTAAGATTAAAAAACAGGATATAATCTTAGATGATATTAGAAATATGTCATTTATATTATAAATTTTTTCTCTGATCAAAATCACTTCTAGCATGCCCGCTAGAGTTAAATAACTTAATGTAATTTTTCTTTATGTGTGTAAGAAAGACAGATCTATTAGACTTTTTTAAAGCAAAAATCTATGTTAAAATACATCAAAACTGCAGCATGAACTTTGTCATCTAAATAAAATAAATTAAAAACAAACCTCTGTTCAGTTACACTTTCTAATATGTGTGGTCAACATGACTTTTTCTTGCATAGCTGTGTTCCCAAGTGAATATAATTTCTGTAATAACAAAAAAATCTAATGAAGAATAGCGGTATTCCAAAACACAACATAAAGTGAAGATACATATCATTTTAATTACATTATCTAAAGGTAATAGCAGATTAAACCAGCCTTACCAGTATTGCTTGAAGAGGGTAGGCCGATTGAGAGCCCATCATCATTAAACAATGACGGATATGCGTCACCCAAGAGTCGTGATTTTGGAGTAATGAATCTTGGTACAACGTGTTTGCTACAAATGACACTTCTGCCTAGATTCAAATTTTCAGTATCACACACAGCACTAAGACATTGTAACCCCTTGGAGAATCTTTTCTCGTTCACTAGAATCTTACAAAGAATAGCGTCCTGTTCGTACTCTAACAATGCGTGTAACACAACCATAACACAACACACCAATTTCCTAGGCATCTTCTACAAAGAAAAATACTTCGAAAAAAGGAGAGTTAATATTACAAATAAAGCGAAGAGGGTAAGCACAAACGAAACTTTACTCAATCACTTGTAATTCCCTGATATGTAGGTACATACTTTAGTCTTCTTCTTCTTTTATTTCATATTTCACACAATTTTGCCAATGTGAAATGAATAAATTAATTCCAACAAGTAAAATTAATTAAAGCTTAATTTAAAACTAAGTATCTTTACTCTTTGTTGTAATGACAGTTTCTGTCAGGTGTCATGTCTCCATCTACTAACAGGGGTGAGGGGCGTGTGGAAATGTCATACATCACTGGACCCCTACGCGATTGGTTTCTTGTCCAGTAGTAGTATTATAATTCGTCCATGGGACAGGCGAAGGAACTAAGCCATACAGCTATATGTTGGGTTATATTCTATAATATAAACTTAATCTTTTCTTCTTGTCTTCTTTTTATTCCGTATTGTCTTCTTAATTTTTTTTAAAAGGCAGATAGCCAGATCTTTAAGTTTCTTAAGTTTCTTTGTCTTGTCCAGGGTTATTATTTTACATATCCGGGAAGGTCAAATCAGATTTTTCCAACAGTGAAGCTAATATAGTCATAAATCGGTACAAAGTTTTCTAAGAGATCCTGAAGGGAAGGCGGGATAGTCTTGTATCTTTTCAGGAAGTGATAAATCAGAACGAGTCGCTGGATATTGTAGATTGGGCATGAAAAAAAAATGTGTTCAAGTATCTGGTTTTCTTGAGTTGAACATTCGGTGCATACTGGAAATGTTATCATAACAATATATTGAATATAGATTGAATAACCGATATACAGGGAGGAACAAAATGACCGAAACAGCCGAAAGTTTCAAGTTATGTTACATGCAAACATTCATTTTATTTGACAAATATTTCAAAATAGAGGAGGTGTAAAAATGGAGTAAAAATCTTAAATTTATAAGTGTTGACAGCGCTTTAACGCGCATGCGCAGTATCGTTTGTGCGCAGATTACAACGGACTGCGAAATACATTAATTTAATTTAATTATTTACCGATATCTTAATGATAGTCGATGCTGAAAATGTTCAATTCTTCTCTGAAGACAGCTAAGCACGCTCTTTCGCATGTCAGTGTATGCACGCGCAAAACACATCACATTTCACACAAAACTAAACACAATCTTCACTAAACTAAACTTAAAACTCAAGACGAACACTCTAGTATCTTATTAACAAAAATTCAATTCAAAATAGAATAGAATAGATCTTTATTTGCGTCAAACATGGTATTTAAAGTTTTACAAAAATAGGCAGTTCAACATGTTTCGCTTTTCTTATTAGCATGCAAATATATTAATTTATTACAACACAATAAAAATAAAATAATTATTAAAAGATTATAAATTTTGATATAAATGTCATAAACCCATTA